GTTAATTAATTAGTTTTTATTGTTGTAAGTATTACTCATACTGGTAATGCACATATTACCAGTATGAGAATACTATAAGTACCTACATTAGAGGAGATAAATGTGGTTTTATATTCACATAAAAAGTATGATGCAATGAGCGTAATCAAGAAATAATGAAAGCGAGCTGTATAGTTTAACCATATCAATTAAAATTATCTTACCTATGTGATTAGCATGTTTGCTCTTGTTGCTATATTCGCTGTTTGTTTATCATTTTTGTGCAGTAATCCCAGACCGCGGCCGGTTTTGACGTTGGCATTCTGATGTTATGTTTTGCTGAGATTTTCTCATGATATTATTTTGAGTGTTAGGGGAATACTTTATGCAATTGGCTGTATGGGGCTCTCCATACACACAAAACCGTCCGAAGACTAGTCAAAAAACCGACAATGTGCGTTTCGGACTCGCGCATTCTCCATTAAAAAAAGTCACGTTTTTGTTTTTCTATGAATTTATAGAAATAAGATCAACTGTAAAACTGACTTAAGTGAAATTGTAAAACTGACGTAAGTGTGATAGTTTTCCTTTTAACTTCGTTATATATAGGTATAAGTACTACTGCCGTAACGTTTGACTTTTTACCAACGACCATTTAATTGGTAGAGGGGAGGACACTTGACTCTAACGAAAATTAACTCTTTTAACGTTTAATAAATCACAAACGTGTATACTCATGACAAATTACAACTTTCTAGCACCAATATTTTTTAAACCGTGGACGGACTGACGGATAGACGGATATGGAGAAACTATAAGGGTTCCTTCTTTACTACGGAACCTTAAAAATGGATCTATCAGAGACTGCTCCACACCCAGCCCCCGATCCACATCCAATCCATACGATTATTGTTTGTAATCACAGGCAATTACAAGGTCTAGGGTCGCAAATACGTATAGGTATTCAATAAATCGACATTCGTCCAGTAACACTTGAAACTTAATCTGATTAAATGATAAGGCGGCTTTTATCTTTTAATCACTTCATAATATTGTCTACCAACAGTGTAATGACCCTTTTATAAGTTGTAATCTTTCAATAGGTTTAAAGAGGTTGTAACTACCGATGATCAATTTAATTAAACAGGGAGGTATAACATGACTATAGATAAATTATCTATAGTAACTTTTGTCTTTGTTTTTTAGAATTTGGTACTCTAAGGATAAAATGGGGCCCTATCACAAAGACTTCGCCGTCTGTCTGTCTGTCACCAGATATATATTGTGAATTGTGATGTTAGATACTTGAAATGTTCACAGATGTAATTCTGTTGCCGCTATAATAACAAATATTAAAAAATATAATAAAATATAATAAAATAAATATCTAAGGGGGCTCCTATTTAGCAAACGTGATTTTTGCTCGTTTCTGGTACAGATTCGTTCTTACGCGAGTCCGACTCCTACTTTGCCAGTTTTTCTTTTTTTATCAACTCGTGACATATGGAAACAGAAAAAGATTATTGGAACATAACATCTGGTTGCCAAAATAATGAAGTAATTACATAGTTGCTTATCTTAAATATTTTGATTCTTATTTTATAGCAAACAAGTGGACCCGGTTAACCTCCGAGAAATTTGAATGTAAAAATATATAAACTTCTTGATCCGTCAAAGAGTCAACGAGAGAGCAAAAGGATATAGCGATAATTTAAAATCAGAGATTTATTTCATCTGAGTATAAAATTAACCATAGACATATACAACATTACGTGAACTGTCAAATTCGTTTTATTATGACAAATCACAATTCAAGTCTTTTATAATTATTATTTGTGTCAATAAAATATAATATTTTAATACTTATTATCCTATTCCCGACGAAAACAAATCCAAAAACACAAATATCATAAAATGTGTTTCTTAGAATTCATAAAAATAATTATTTTTAAAAGAAATAACTGTTGCCTTCACTTTTATCGGCAACAACCATTAACTAATTAATTACTGAAATCATAAGATCCTTTTATTTATAAAAAGTACATTTATAAGTTCAGTAATGATACATAGCTACCTCAGTCCAACTGACTTCGGAACGATCCGTTAATTGAAAATTTGTATAAAAAAAATATATTTTAGTAGGTACCCACATCATAAGAAAAATAATATTGATATAATTTATAAGCAGCCCGCGACCTATTTCAATGTACTTTCTTATAGGGTCAACGGTTTTCAACGGCAAAGTCAACATTTTGAGGGTATCACATGTGATTTATCAAACCCATGGGTTTGATAAACGGAAGATGAATAGGTACTAAATGTTGATGAATCCAAAAACTGTAATGGAATGTCATTACAGCTTTTTGTGTTTTATTGCTCGGTGCTTTCCTAGATTTCATAAGGTCAGAAATATAATTCTAATATGTTACCTTATTATATGGTTGAAAGTCGCTTTAATATTATAATAATTAAGTTTTGACTACTAAATTTTTCAGGAAACTGAAAAACATAATTGAAATGGTAAAGATTTAATTTAAATTTAATTTATGTAAGGTTGTTCGCGATTGTGATTTTTTATGAAATATGATAAAAGATACACGAATTGGGAACCCTTATCGACACAGTCGCTATAACTGTCCACTAACGTTATTTTTTAACACTTACAGTACGTACAAACGGAATGATTTAGTTCACGTGTAAGCGTTAACAAATAGAGTAAAGTTTGTGTACCTCTATCGTTACGATTTCACACCTGCGACCTGGATATTTTTACTCAATTTGTCTGCTGTGAAACGTAATGCTGAATTGATAAGTTTATCGGTGCGTAGAGTGCCTCTAAAATAGGTCGATTAAGGATTTTATAAATAATATTATTATTTATATTTAGAAAGTAATATGGCTATGAGTTAGAAATGAAAAGAATATATTTTTGAACTGAAATATCTAATTCCACCATTTTAACGATTAAGATTTGTGTTGAATAAAAAAGTTTAAGACTAAACATATTTTTTCGAATTTTGATAGCGGAGCGCACCTTCAGTACATATGCGGCATCTTTCAAGTCGTAACTTTGACCTTTATTATTTAACTCTTCCAATACTGACGCAGATTTTTACTGACACTTTGCAAAGTTGATTGACTTTCATGCATCAAAATGTCGTGTGATTGTTTTATCTGCTTGTGGATTAGGTTCCGAATCGTTATTTTAAGATAGTTTGTCGAAGCCTAGACACACTAACAATTCTTTTTCGCCTCTTCTCGGACGGTCGTGAAGATATCCAAACCTAAACCAAACACAATTACCACCGGGACTGATACCGCGAATTTGAACTAAGTATTTCGCACTGTCGCATTTCAGGCTTAAGTAATTGTGTTGTCGTTCCTAACTCCGTCTCCACACTGTAGCCCATAATAGGAGTTCACGCCACCACCATTGTTTAGTTTTTCGGGCAATCATCAAAAGAAGTTTGGCCATGATCGTGTGCACGCCCACACAATCGCCGATCACTCAGTTCGTATTTATTTATGATACAATGCAGACGCGTGCTGTTTTGCCTGTAATCAATACTAAAATGTCGTAACCGAAGAAGAACTATAATTAACCATTTATGTTTATAAAATTATACCAAAAACACGCTCCACAAGGACAATTTGGAGTCTTGTTTCGGCGTCCATATAGTTCAGATGGCAATTAACAATCATGGGATGGCCAATCGTGTGGACAGCTGCGCAATGATGATTACAATCATGGTGGAACTTAGTGATTGCCTCATAATATTATTACAAAATCTATTTTATTCTACAAAATTATTCTCAATTTCATTACAAATTGATCATCTGCAGTGTTATTCTGTTAAAAATAACAGCGTCAACACAGCGTTGTCGCAGAATATAGTGGTTCAATGAAATAAAACCATAGATTTACTATTTATCTTTTCTGAGTAGAGAAATATTTTTTGACACTATTTTTGACTTTTTAAGATTTACTTATGCTTAAATAATAAGGAATAAAATTTTTATATGGATATTGTAAGAAATTCACGGTGAAAGTCGTCTCACAACCGTCTTCTTCGCCTTCGACTTCTCGTCTTACCTATAAATTATCCATGGGAATGAGGATCCAGAGAATATCAAAGCACCTATTAAAATGTAAATCTGATATTTGGTGGCAACTCGTTTTGTTATGTAAATACATTAATTATATGTATGTATATAGCTTTGAGACATATGGGTAAAGGTGTACGCAGCGTTTAAGTGTCCACTTAAGTAGTAATTATATAAAATTTTGAAGACACAAAAGTGCGAAAAACCCTTTCCTAGTGCCTCTTCAGAAAAAGAACGTGACGCTTTAGTTTTCTGAAAATTAACCAATGTATTTCTTCCATGACTCTATACGAGCGTGAAAAAAAACTTTGTTTTTATACTCTTTAAGTCAATAATTAAATTCGTAATATAACTTGAGAATTATTAGGAACTATAAACCAAATTCTACTCGTACGATTTAAAACATGAAACTTGTAGCCTTTCCTATTTCTCCAAAAACAGAATTTCGTCTATTTTCGAAATGATGAATTGACTCCAAAGAAATGCATGTTTCGATAATTTATGGTGCAACGGCGGATGGTCACACCTCTGGTGAACAGATAATCTTCACGATAATTATAGGAACGATTTGAAATTTTCCGAATTTTCAAATAGAATGACAAATAGAATAGGCCCTCAAGGTGTCATGTTAATTCGTACAAGTCATAGATTTAGTAATAAACGATATACCTAATTTACACTATGTAGTCCCTAGTCGCTACACAGTATAGATTTTAATATTTTGCTATAAATCCCAACATATATAAACTAATTATAGCTTTATGAGCATAAATATTGCTCATAAAGCTGTAGATATATTACAAAATTCTGAAGTATCAAGCGTTTCAAAATTCTTGCACATGTTTAACTATTTCAGTTTCAGACGCTTTCCGTCTATAAAACCAATAAGAAATGTATCTGATGAAAGTTAATGATATATGAAAAGACCCGTCCTAGTGGCGTTAAATTCTTTCTGCTACCCCGTAAAGAATGTGACTGAGAAGAATAAGTCTTGTTTTAGGAAAACATTGGTAATATTTTAAAGTGATTACATTTTCCTTTCAGATGTCTACAAAATCTAGCGTCGAAGCAGGATAGCGCCAGTTGAAATGCGCCCGAGGCAAGATTGCAACACGCAGGCGGGTGGGTAGTATAGGAGGATGTGGGTGCGGGCAGCACGCGCGCTGCGAGCACTGCGGCGTGCGCTGCTGCTGCTGCCACTGGCGCTGATGGCCGCCGCGCTCATACTGCTGCCGCGCCCACAGCCTGTCCCACCGCCTATACGCGCCCCTTCATCAGTTGCACCACGTATAGATCTACCAGCCCACCAGGTTTGTCTGAATCATTTGTAAAAATTAAGTTCTTGCAAATAAACTCATGATCTGCCAAGTTTTGGGTCGTGTTTTCCGAAATGCTAGACACAAAAATCAAAAGTGTACTGCTTTGTGTAAACTTAAATAAGGTTTCTAAAATTAAATATTTATTGAACTCCTTTTTTTAGTTGATCATACCGCGTAACTAAGTGCATTCGCCAAGTGAAATCAATTCACATAATCTTGCACGGAGACCTCGCATAATTATTTATTTATGATGTGCCTGAAATTCACTACTTTAATATTCAATTACAGTTGTGTAAAGTTCAATTAGCTACGCGATGAGTACGGGTCTTATCTTGCCTGAGTTGCTAGATGCAATGAAAATATTAAAACTAAAACATCATTACTGAAAATCACAATATAAAAAGAAGAAAAAACATATTCTCATCATAAACTCTTGTACACCCTCGTGCAACTAATGGGTATTAAATACGAAACTTACTAGTAATTTTTCATAATGTTCATAGTGCAAAGGTTAGGTCACAGTTATCCCATGAACATCATCGATTTGAATCCGCAATTAGTGGAAATGATGATTTCCGTTCATTTTGGCTCTATCTAAATTAAGATGTATCTTGTATCTTGGCTAAAATGGGCCAAAATGGAATGAAATTTAAAAAATCATATTAAAACATAAAATTTATGTAGTGTAAGAAAAAAAACCAAAAACTAAAACTTGTCTACTTACAAAATATTATGCTCTAAAAAGGAAGTTTCTTTTTCGGGGTCCGTAAAAACAGTACCTACTCTTACGAGGTCACTTTGTTGTCCGCTTATCTGTCAAAACCCTTAATTCCGGGAACACGTAGAGATATAGAGTCGAAATAAAAACACTGTACTCAGATCTACAATCCCTTGAAGCTGTGCGAATATAAACTTTAAAAAGGATACTATGCCGCCATAAACTAATAATTTGACACTCTCAAAGGAATCAAAATTTATAGAGTACTCCCTAAAACTTTTTTATAGGAATTCTCAATGAAAAATTTGAACTATGCTTATGTAATTATAAAAAAAAAAAAAATATCTTATAGGGATTCATTTAAGTTGTAGCTAATTCGAGAGAGTCAAAATTTTCGTATTTTGTGTTTGTGATTATTTTTCCAAATTTAAGAAAATCTGCAAATAAACAAAATATGTATGTGCTTAATGAGCATATTTCAAAAGATATTTTATTATTGTTCTAGATTGTTTAGTTTATAGTTTTGGACTTATCATGTAGTTTACTCAATTATAACAACAATTTACTTAGACATTTTTTTTTGTTCACAATTAATAGGATTTCAATATCTTTGCTTTTCATTTTTCTATAGATAGAGAATGCGATTACTGAAAATAATGATGTATTCATACGTGACCTCGATGACGTATCCCAAAGGCCATGGTATATGCGTGGTGGTGAACAACGCCCTAATGAACATGATCCACATGCAAGCTTATTCCCAGAAGACGCACCAGGTGACGACAGGTAATTAATTAACTCTCGAAAAATGTACAGTAAAACAAGCTTGGACTATTTATATATAAAATTAAATAATAGTTAATATTAGCTTATTCAAGAAAAAAAACATATCCTTATTAATATAAGAGTAGCTAGACAGGATTACGACTACCTAACTCTTTAGCTAAGCCTCTAGACAAAGCAACATTTAATTGATATTGACAATGTTAAAATTATTTTATAACGATATATTTTTTATTATACATTTAATCCTTATTTAATCAAACATTTTCATTTATTTCCAAATTATCGAAATAGCTTTATTTGGCACAATTCCTTTATAATCATATTTTACCTTAATATAATTCAGAAAACGACAACTTCCAAATACATTGATAATACCGTCATACATGTCACCTGTATCCCAGGTGATCGGTTTTATAGAAGCAAGTTTTTTCGCTATCCGTTTATACCTAACCGTTTATAAATATTGCAATTCTACAAAAAATATAGCTGACAACTAACGAAAACTTATGATTTTTTACCACCTCTAGCCACGGGATACATTGCTTCAATTCTGAGTATCGTAAAATATTATATTAGCTTGAGCTACTTAATTCAGGAACTTAACAATGTACAGTACACCAGTACACATACTAGAAAATCAGGTTCCTAAAAAATGACAAACTACAATCAATTTTTGCACCTAATTGACCTTTTTTTACCACACCTACACGTGTATTTATATCTTTATAGAATAATTCAGCAGTTGATGTACATATTGCCAAAAGACGAGAATCCACCAATAAAACGAATTCTACTAGCTAACGGTCTGGGCGCATGGGGCGTCCCAGCCGGACGCACTGAGTTCATCCGTAACAAATGCCCCGTGGACCGGTGTTCTATTACCGCTGACGCCAGAGATGCTGGCACTGCTGATGCCGTCCTATTCAAAGACCACCATACACCGTTCAACGTTAAGCGGCCACTAAACCAGGTCAGTATGTAATGACTGTTCCAAATTGTACACTGAATAAGCTATTACTTATTAAAATAAAACAGATTTTTATATTTTCATAGCACTGTATCGAACTCAAAGACCTTTTGATTGCAAATATTAAAAACGAAATACCAAAAACAGACTTTACCATGAAAACGAAAACCCACAATATTTGAAAGGATTAAATTCATGAGAATATTTATCATGGCAATGTATACTATCAAAGGACCTTGACACCGACTCAATGCTTAATACTTACAAGCTTATCTCAGATTGAATTTACAAAATTTTATGTAAAAAACCAAATAACGTTACCATTACCGTACAATTATATTTGAAAAATTTGTTCCCCTTTTAAATAATCTTTAAGAAAAAAATATTTTTCATTTGACGTTTCACTATGTAAATTTAAAAGTAACCTTAGATCATCATTTGCTATAATAGCACTTGTCTAAATACAGGTAGACACTACAACGCGTTTACTTACCTATGTAAAATTCACAAAAGGAACTCAGATGTGCTTGACGTTTTGTGAGGTTTTATTATAGTGTTTTTTTATCACATAATATACATGCCAATTACTTTCTTTTATCAGCTTCAATTCCACTGTTACATCTTTTGCTACTGTGCAGCCATTGTGCAAGCTGTATATTTGTGCCCAACTCAAATGTGTAAAGACTTGCTTTAAAGATCTAACACAGCTTGTAGAGTGGATGTAAACCATAAGGTGTTCTTTATAGAACCCTAAGTGCCATTTGGGAAATCACAGATTTCATTCTTCAGTTTCGGTACAGATGAAACAAGTTATTGAGCACTAACTAACTTGAAATATAATCTTGAGTTCTTTGAGTTTAGTTCCAGTTTATTTTCATGCCAATCAGTTTTTGATTCAAACGCTCCCATGCGTTATAATTCGTTACAATGTGATTATGTAACTTTGAAACAAAAATACATGAAAGAAAAAATCCTTTCATATTCATTGTTTTCAGATTTGGATTTTATATTACTTGGAGTGTCCATATCATACAGCGTCATTAAGGCCGACGTCTTTGGATGTATTCAACTGGACGTCTACTTACCGCCGGGATTCAGATTTAGTCGCACCCTACGAAAGGTGGGTCTACCACGATCCGCTTGTCACTGAGAAAGAACTTGATAGAAACTATGCAGCAAATAAAACCAAGAAGGTTTGTATCATTTGTGTCTGATAAACTTCTAAGCATACTTTTTAAGTCCTACTGAACCTTTTCTATGAGTCAAATTGTTATACCTATACCTTGATAAAACATGTAACCGTCCTTTTCTGAAATATCTACAAAATCAATTATCATATGATTTTGTAGATGTTTAGGAAAAGGACCGAGGCACTGCGGTGTTTACTTATTGAAACTTTATTTTCCAATGATAAGTATTATCATCATATTTGCACAGGTTTTTTCATCAGAATTATACATTATGAAATCAAATATTTGTGTCAATAGAAAAAGGTATTATTTATTAATAACATTTGAAAAACTCTTAAAGGAGACTTAACTAGTTTTTAGGGTTCTGTGGGTACCCAAAGGGTAAAAACGGGACCCTATTAATACGGCTTTGTTGTCCGACCCTCTATTACCAGGTTCTCATGAACCGTGGTAGATAGGCAGTTGAAATTGAAATAATGTATATCTGTTCCCTCTGTAACAACAAAGTGTGCGACCCAGATGAAAGGCAGGACGTCTTCCACGTCCTTTTGGAATGCCCTATCCTGAACAAAGAAAGACACACATTACAAATGAGCATAAACACAAAACTCAGCCGGGATAATTTATCAGGAATAATGGAAAGTAAAGAAGATAGGGACAAATTCATTAAAATTCAAAAATAATTATACAAAAGGTAGCAAATATGAACATCGACTAAAAGTAAAGCATGCAAATAGAAACAAATATATATGTAAACTAGCTTTTGCCCGCGACTTCGTCCGCGTGATAAAGTTACTTTGGGCATCATATTTTCCAAAAACGCTGTTGTTTTTTAAGCTAATGATGAAATTACCTTGATGTTTAAGTTTAAAGATAGTACAACAAAATACCAACGAATGTTCAATATGATACAGCACTTTATCTTTGAAACTTTAGAGATATTAATCCAATTCAATGCAATTTGAAATAAACATGAAAAAAACAGTTCTGAAGTTTACACAAAACTTAATCGAAAACGTAATCTACGCAAAATTTTTGAAAGAAACGTTACCGCAGATTACCTTAGAATAAACGCCGAAAGGGTTTAGCTGGATACGTATGACGAGTCGGCCCCCAAATGGGAATCGATATTGAAACTTATGTTTTAATATAGACTTGATGTTCAAACACGATTTATGTACTTTTCGCGACCGACTTCCGCTTTGACCTTGAGATAGAGATCAAAATATCCGTATGCTTGACTATTACTGAATGTGATATATCTCTGAAGCTAATTAAGATAAAGAAGTGAAACTAACGCGAGGTGTTAGGTTACATTACAGAGTATATCACATATATTTTTTTATAATTTTTAGAATAAAAAATTACATTAAAAAAATAAAAATAAAAAAAAACATGTTTTTTTTCTGAGTTCTCTGTGACTTACAATCACGAAATTAATATATGTTATGCTCCTTTGTGTGCTCTATCACCCATAAAAATTGCATGAAAAAAAAGTTGGTGCAACACAACAAAAAAAAATTATATGTGATTTCTGTCTTATGGTATACCCCTGTATTATAAGGATTTCACATTACATCATTGTTTTTTTTTTCGAAATTTCACATCAGCTTGTTTTAAAACATAAGTAAATAGTCTTAAGAAATGGGATAATAGTTAAAAAAGAACTGAAAAAGAAACAGCCAGTGTTCAATACTTATTATTATTACTTTACTACAACACAATTCAATCTGTGATAATAGTATGTAAGAGCATATGTAATATATAAAACAATACATAAATTGTTAAAAGAAAACAAAAAATGTAAAAACTAGAATAAGATAAGAAATGTAAAAGTTGACAAAAAAAAAGAAAAATCCCACACGGTATTTAAATACCTATCATATATAAAAAAGAAAATAAAGCAAAAAAATAATAATTAAAGATGCAGAAAAGACATCCTGCTAAATAGTGGGGGAACCCGTTTAAAAAAAAAAGAGAATAAAATAAATATTTAAGGGGGCTCTCATACAACAATCGGGATTTTTTTGCGTTTTTGTAGATTAAGATTAATATGTTTCATCTTAAGTAATTATTTTAATAATCTTATTTTTTTTTTGCAAGTTATTGCAGAATAAAAATTTAATCACAACATTATTTTCTATAATCTAAATGTTAACAGGCCGACATTTGAGTTGCTTACGATAGGAAGTAATAAACCTGCACTTTAATATTCTATAAAATGTATCGGTACCTGCTCATTAACATCTGTTCATTGAAACACTCGTAAATAAAACAATCATTTTGTTTGTTATCGTTCGATTTCACAACCTTTAGGTAAATTCATTACACCTCCTTAGATACCTAACTATAATGTAGTGAAATTTCATTTATAACTCTAAATCAATTACTCAGATTATTGAAATTTATGAACATATTATGTTGTTGAGTTATTTTTACTGTAAAAACAACGTGTTGCCACTTCCTTTAGTTGTCGAACTTTTTGTAGTTTGAGAGTGAATGACTTTATTATTACATTCAAAGTGTATTGTATTGTATTATTCGCTCTACAAAATACGCTCTTTCTAATTTCCTATTAATTCGAAAAATATTCAATTTACTCTTTGTATGATGTTTGATGATTATAATCCGGCCAAGTTCGAGTCGGACTTGTGTACGAAGGGTTCCGTACCAGAAACCGTTACGTTACCGTTGTATGGGAGCCGACTTAAATATTTATTTTATTTTACTTTTTAGTTATTTATTATTATAGGGGCAATAGAAATACATCATCTGTGATAATGTCAACTATCTAGATGTCACGATTCATGAGATACAGCCTGGTGACAGATGTGTGCTAAGAAATTTATGATTTGGTGCATATTTAGTATATTTTATTTATTTTGTTTACTATAATGTATACTGAAATTCTGTTGATTAAACTAGTAATATTACGTAAGTGCCATAACATGCCTAGGCTGTCGTATCCTATTACTAGAGTCATGGCTAGATAGTGCGGTTGCAACCCTAGTAGCTTGTCCAGCGGAAGGGATAGTGCCTAGTCGCTTGTCAAGCGGAAGGGATAGTGTCTAACACATTTTCTCAATCAAAAAAGCAATTGATATTAAATACCTAAATGTATTTAAATTTCAAAAACATCACATACATCGCTCACATTTAAAACTTATTAACTAAAAACCCTTCCATTGCGGAAATTAGAAAGAAAGAAATAATGCATGTTACATTGAATTAGTATGCTTAAAATAGTTAGCTCTTTTAAATCCAATCTATTTAAATTTCCAGGTTGCATGGTTCGTGTCGAACTGTCACGCTCGCAACCGGCGACTACAATTCGCTCGTCAACTGTCCAAGTTCATTCAAGTGGACATCTATGGGGCGTGCGGGTCGCACCACTGTCCACGCACTGACCCCAACTGTCTAGACATGTTAGATAAAGACTACAAATTCTACCTGGCGTTTGAAAACTCCAACTGTCGTGACTATATCACTGAGAAATTCTTCGTTAATGGATTACAGTGAGTAAATATAGTATTCTATTACAAGAGACCGGCAATTTTGATTTGTATTTCAAAGTGCTCTACGAGTTGAGTTTCCAATTTTCCAAAGTAAGATTATCGATTTTTCTATGTACGTACTTGTTACTTTCGACGTCTTTTTTTTTATATTTTTCGTTCGAATAAAAAGTTTATAGCAATGCAAATACAAAATTTATCCCGCTAACTAGACAATATTATTGTTACAAAATAAAATACGTTGAAGCACATACCTATTACATTATAAAATTACGCTCCATGTTAACTAACGATTATCAATTAACAATAGATGCTAGTTGCCCAGTGTTTAAAAAATATTGGATTTAACACTTATTAATAATAAATAAAAAAAAAGTTTTAAATATTTCGTGGCAACCTGATATGCTGATGTGTGTACGTACGACGAAAAGTGGGACGGAGCCAATCCCGCACAGGACATTTGATATTGGGCTAATAAATCGGAACGTCCCATCAAAATCGAGACATCTGCCAGATGTTTTCAGATCACATTACACTTTTTCATACCTATAAGTATGTAGTATTATTTGATTATGTTTATTGTTAGGCACAACGTGTTACCGATAGTGATGGGGGCTCGTGCATCAGAATACGCTGCGGCGGCACCGCATAATTCTTACGTGCACGTGGAAGAGTTCGCCAATGCGGAGGAGCTCGCTGCGTATCTGCATAGACTAGACGAGAACGACACTCTCTACAACTCTTACTTTAAGTGGAAGGTAATTAAAAACTTATTGCGTATTTTCTTGTAGCGCATTGACATTGCATGAGTAGCTCAGTGTCGTAGTGGATAAGCGCCACAGACCACGATCGTTGTTGTTAAGCAACCTTTTCAAGGGTCGGTCACGCCATGGGTGATCAAAAAAATATTATTTTTGAGCTACTCCGTATTTCGGAAGGCACGTAAAGCCGTTAGTTATATTTGCAGTCGTTAATACCTTCCAATCAGCAGCAGCACGGAGGGTCATTGCCCATTATCCTTAACCATCTATAAGGAAGGCCGGAAAAGGGCTGATAGTGATGATGATATGGCACATGGATGATGATGTGGCACTTTGATTGGATTTACGAAAACGAAGCTATACTGTAACGTTAATTTCAGTACGATTACGTTTCCGTTTCGCGTAGTAAACCTGTCTGAACATTTCTATGGAATAAACCAAAATCCATCACAGTTTCAGATTAACGTAATTTAGGTCTTGCTGTTCTATCTTAAAGAATGGTTATATTTGAAAAGTATTTATAACCTAAATTAACAAACGGTGACAGTAATTTCTATTCTTTTTCACGATCGAACGATGACTGTCGATTGTATTCATTTATTAATAACTAGACGTTTTCCCGCGCCTTCGCCCGTGTCGATGCCAATGTCAACCGCGTATGATGTAGCTTCTCGTAGGTGAAAGAAATTTTAAAATAATTTCAGTAGTTTCGGAGCGTCTTCAATTCAAACAAACAATTAAATCATTACCATTTATGTTGTTTTAAACTTTCATGATCATTTACGTTCGAATGATAATTACTCCGCGTTCATGACATTTACAATAGCACCGAAATATCGGAAACTCAATCAAAAAAAGGTACATGGTAGCAATATCTTAAAAACAATAATTCTAATTATCTCTTAAAAAATATTATCAGAGATATTAATATTTATAGAAAAACGCACGTCTTCTGGCAGACTGTAATGGCTATGGAATCCATTCGCGGAAACATTTATTTGTATATAGCAGAATGAGTACTCATTACAACGAAATCTGTTCCAGTTATGATATCTTTAATTGTAGTATTCCCACATTTAAGAATCTTTTATATGAGCTGGAACTGATTAAATAATTTAAAATAGGTCGTAGTGTTTTAGTTCATGACAGTACTTAATTATAGTTACTAATTGGTTATTTTATAGCAATTGTTGTGCACAATTGTCATTGAGCGCAGATATACCTAAGTATTAATTTAATGTAAGATCTATTATATAGTCGTATGTATGCTATTCTGTTGTCTGTAATTGTACTTTAATAATAAAAAAAATTGTGACCCGTCTCACCTCGCTATCCCATGCCCTTCATCTATCTATAGGTAGTAATTAATGGCCTAAACTTACAACGATAAATCAAAAATGTTGCCCAAATGAATTCCTTACCTTTGCTTTATCTACAGTTAAAACTTTCAAAACTATTTTTATTAAATAAAAACATAATCGGTTGCACAAACGTCAACAAAAAGCATACAAATTTGACATTTAACTTTAAGTTTGTGCAACTGACCGAATATGTCACATTCCAGTCTCTTCATGAAGTACCTAATGCTTGATATTTTTTCAAAAATCTGCGTTCATTCTTTTGTTATCTTTTTTAAAACTCACTTAATAAGGAACTTACTTGGTTGCAAAAAAATATGCCCTTAAAATATATATACCTATCAAAGTTGCAGCTTTAGAACGAATGATTTGATTTCTTTTAATAGAATCTCTAGCTTTGAACAAGGCAGACGCGAGCATCGATTTTGTTTTTATTAGATTAGTCATCAACTCATGATAAACGTTCGATTCTAGGGCACGGGGGAGTTTATAAACACGTACTTTTTCTGTCGCGTCTGCGCCATGGTACACGCGAGCGAGCGTAGACAACGCAGCGCACACTATACGGACGTACAGGTAATGTTTCTTTTTTTTATTTATTTGTCCAAAATACATATTTTTTGCAGGGACAAATTTATTCAGAGGAAAATTTAACCGGCTACCTACATTTTGTCAGTTTTTCCAAAATTCCGTCGTAGTTTAATTAAATTTGTGTTGAAATTACATTGGATGTCACATTGCGAAAAACAATGTGGAAGTTGTGAACTAGTTTAATAAAGAGAAAAAAGTATTTAAAAAACAAACAGAAATTTCAGTTATCTTAAAAATTTACAATGTTTTTATTTGAAAATAAATTACGACTAAACTTATTTTTGTTAAATAAAAATCACAGAAAATAACTAAACTTGAGTCTAATTCTTTTGATTCTTGCAGATATATTCTCTTATTATATTATGCCTACTAGTCAAAGCCTAACTTTATTAAAAAAAAAGTGATTCGATGTAAGATTGGTGGACGGTTAAATGTGCCCCAGAGTGCTTATTTAAAGTAAACAACGTTAGTTACATCAGCAACTCAGCAACGCAATTGACAGAACATATAGCAAAAAAAAAGGCAGTTACCTAACATTCTTAATGAAAAATAAAAAATCCACTTTAATGCTTAAAAAAGCTTTTTCACGGTAAATATTTTTCAGTGTAACATTGTGAATGCAATATTTATAAAATATAATAATTAGAACAAATTTACATGTTTATCGAAAGTTGAAATATTTGTAAAAATATTTGTATTTCGACTGGGTGGATTGCCTGAACATTGATAAAAATACGCTCTGTAGTAGCGAAAAAAAAAACAAGTGCTTGAAATATTCGACAGTCCTTTTAGCACCTGGGTAGTTCGATGGTTAGAGCAATCGCCAGGATTGCGAAACGTCGTGGTTTCGAGATCTAACTCAGAGTGCCAGGGACGATGTGAATGTTTTAAGCATTTTTATTAAGAATATTTTTCAGAATAGCATTGTGAATGCAAAAGTGATCATACATAATAATTGTAATAATGATTACATTACATAAAGTAAAACTTTATATAATGTAATCATTATTACTTATATCAAAAAATATTTTTTTCAAATATTTTTTTTATAATTACGCGTATTCATAATATTATAATATTCACATTATATCATAAACCTATCGATATATTAGTACGAGTATATTCTCCTAATGTTCTAATAACTGTAAAAGTACGATATTTAGCGACTTCGACATATCAACAATTAGGCTGGGTGCAAATTGTTGTCACGTTAATTTTATACAGAGTTCCTTCTCAAATACAAGTTTGCTTTAAAAACTAAAATGAAACTGTTTCGCTTACGACACGTCACACATCTAAAACGAAATTGTTTTGTCTACTACGATGACGCGACGCACACCGAGTGCGTCAATTCTTTTTCGGTATCAAAGTTAATTTGAATGGACTTCATCAATTTGAAACAGTTTTCATTGTAATTTTTTATGTATGTTCAACGAAATATACTCTATATATACATATATGAATCTCTATTTCCCTTGCCATCACACGTGCACGATTTCGCTAATTCCTTTTTGTTGTGTTTGTTATTGGTAAAGGTTCTTATGAAAGAAAAAGTAGGAACATTGTATGGACTATTTAAGCATATTTAACCACCTTATAAAATTATTTTTATATTTGATCAAATTTTGAGTTCACAATGATATCCTGAGAAATATTTACGATCCACGATCTTCCGCAATTCTTTTGTGCCAGAGACAAAGTGGATTTTTTAAGCATTTCATTAAGGATAAAATTATTTCTGATTAGTGCTTTGGATTGTCAAGAGAGGTTTTGTACTGAATATATTTTGTCTTTAGTTTAAGGTGATGTTCTATGTCAAGTAATTGATAGACTTTTGTATTGTTTTGTTTTTGTCTTTTCTCAACGGTTTTTCACACTACTTTTTGTAGAATATAAGGTTTTTTCACTCTTTTAATACCTATAATGAACACCCTTACATCCCACAGGCGTGGTGGCGTGACGGCGCGTGTACACGAGCTGATTGGCGCGCCGCAGAACGAGACACTCGCGACAACGGATAAGGCACAAACACAACAACGCTTAATACTTAATTTTAGGCGGTTACATCGTTTTTTTGTTGTACCTGTGAATGAACCGTCCGCAGAGCACGTTACGCGTGACAACGAAGTGATCTCAACGCGACCTCCTAAATCGAAATTTTGCAATACTTGTAATCAAGCTGTTACGAGTCGATTTTGAAAGAATCGAAAATATTCGTTTTCATATAAGCTCTTTTTACCATTATCTCACGCGGTACTACGTAATTAATATATATTTACAAGTATAAGATTTGAAACAATGCACAAATTATACCTACCTACCCGATTTAACACCTTTAAATGACATATACACGAACTGATATGAAAAGTAACGCACATATGACTGATTTACTACTCCTCTAAAATAGAGGTCGTGTATTAATGGCGTGATTAAATTGAAGATAACATCGTCAATGGCATAGGAGAGAGGACATCGTCATCAACCGTCGAACACATCGCTGAGCATAAGTCTCCCCCATATCTCCAGGATGATCACGGTCTTACTCTGCTTGTACCCAGCAAGTTAGATATAATATTATATCGATATTAGTATTTGATAATCACATCAAAAGACATGGTTTATATGCTCTAATAATTGTTTTCATTAAAAAAAATCACTTGTGGCGTTATTTAGATGGTAGAATCTCACCCACCACGTATCACCCGGGGGAAGGGAAAGTATAAAAAGTGATTTTTGACGACCCCCTAAGTATTTATTAAACTGCAAGAGGGCGCAAATGCGAAGTAGAAAATAATTGTAGAATCAAGAAAATTAAATCTGACTCATGCTGAAGCATGTGATATGTTTGTAAGCTTTAAAGAACTGTTTAACATCAACTTATTCAAATCAATGTAATATTGCTTAAAAGTGAATGAATTTGAATCCTCTTTCTGAATTGGTCATCGTCTTGGTTTCTTGCTTTCACTACTGTGCTGTTGGTTCGCGCAACAGCTAGGGTTATTCATTAAAAAATATTTCCTATTCTAATCTAATTCATATTGAATGGATTGATATTTTTATCAAAAAAAAAATCAATTTTGTTCGAGTTTAATTTTTGGTATACACCTTTATTAAGGTGTTTAACGATAATGTGAAAAATCGACAGTAACATCGTGCTGGCTTAAATCATTACTCAAGTCCAAATGTCGCGAAGTCTCTCGCGAATATCTTGCAACCAAAATTCAGTTCACTAGATCTGCAGATTTGGGTTTAAAAAACCTAAAATGCTGCACTAACTGGTAATTTCTTAATAATTTAATATTTTACGTAAGTACATTTTTGGATATTCATTTGCACCCTCATCAGGCTTCTTATAGTCTTCGCATCGTAGCGTATCCATATTAGACTTATTGGAATATTTCATAGGCATTCAAGCACACACGTCCGGAATGACAATCACGAAAGTGCATCCTTCATGGCATTTATGAAATCACACCCATCGCGGCATTCATGCAAGTGTGCCCCTCGTGACATTTATGGAATCACACCCATCACAGCACACACGAATTCACGCTCATCACGGCATTCATGAAATCGTGCCCACCACGGCAGTCCTATAATCAGGTCCATCATTATAGCATTCATGGAATCTCGCCCATTACGGCATTCGTCTCACCCATTACGGCTCATCATGAATCTCGCCCTTTACGGCATTCATGAATCTCGCCCATTACGGCCCTTCATGAATCTCGCCTATCACAGTATTGATTATTCTAATCCATTAAGGCCTATCATGAACCTCGCCCATTACGGTATTCCTGAATCTCGCCTGTTACAGCCCTACATGAACCTCGTTATTATTGGTATCATATATTTTTGTTATTATTTTTTTATTTATTTGATACAAAATAATTGTGTTATATAATTTATGGCTTCCCCCTGTTCAAACTATACGAAAATTCAGTACTTCAAGTACATCAACTCATATAAATGTACACATAATATAGTGCTAAAATTAAAGGATTCAAAATTCAAAGTATATATAATTTCTGTAACCATTGATAATTAAGAAAGTCGTTTCAATAGGTATTCCATTTTAGATATGCTATTCTATATTATACTTTAAAAAAAAATTAGTTCAAAAAATAAAATCCGACTAAAGCTAAACACTCACACTAATAGTTTGAAACAAGAAATTTATTTTATAGTGGTAGCTATATTATAAAAGCGATGTCCAAAAGATAGCGTAGTCGTATGCCACTGATCATAACAAAACAAATTGTTGTGGCATATGACTACGCTGTCTTTTAGTCATTAACTGTTTTAGAGTGTGATAAAGCTAAAGCTTAGTCCGGTTTTAGTCTGAAATTATTTTTTTATTAAATTAATATTATGGGCCATTTTATTGTAACGTGACATAACCTTATAGTACGCATACAACTAAGACTCTTCTAATTTATCCAGTTACGATGAGTAGTTTCGAAATTTTAAGGGAACAGATGAATATTCTTACATACATACATTCATACTGGCCAAAAATATTTAATTACCTGCAATTTTTATGCGACTTATTATATTGATGAGTATTATTACAAACATTCCATTAAAAATACTAGGTTATTATATTAATATGTAGGTAATTGTTAACATACCAAAGCCGTCACGCCAGGACACGGTCGAAACCGCCAAGTCGGAATAATAGGAATCGGCAAAATTGACAGTGTCATATGGTAAGATTTTAGTGTAAAGTAAAGGACGGCATATATTGTTTTTTCCGGGCCCTGTGTGTAGAAATACCTATGTACATTCATAATTTAAGTCTTATTGAGGGATGTGTTATTTCAAGCGCATTTAGGTCGTGGATTATTAAGTAAAATATTGTAATAAAATTTCAAAGTAACTCACATAATTAGATAGATAGATCTTGTTTGAGTAAAATTCAACCATGGCCGTGGGCCCACGGGGCTAGTTTAATTTATTTATTAAAACATAATATCTATACTATTAAAGATAAAGTTTCTAACTCTCTTTGTTTTGTGAGTAGGGGGGTAGTGACCTTCGGTAATACTGATCAGCAGGCTCGCTCTTGAACGCAATTTCAATGTAAGTAAATTCCAATCCATCCCCAATGACAATCTCAATTTTCATCAAATCTTAGCTCGTACTCTTGAAACATAGTCTCAATGTCGATAAGTTCATTCAATAACCAAGCAATATTGAGCCAATTGGCGTTAGTGTACAAAATCAAGAGTACGAAACGTCACACGTTATCGCGATTCGCGATTGCGTTCAAGAATCATAAAAATTCTTTCACTTACGGGAAGCTACATCATGACGCGATTGCTATTGGCTATAATTTACGCGGACGAAGTCGTAGAAAACTACTTACTTAAACTCATTCAGTTTTAGGTATATCCGTAGCCGAGTGGTTCGCACGCCAGTTTCAAGGTGTCACCTTCTCTGAGGTCCCGTGTTCGATCCCGGTCGGGTCATTGTAGAATATGAACGTTGCTGTATTATCTCGGATCTGGATGTTACCTTCATTGTCTCAGATACTCCATAATACGGGAGCTTTAGCTACTCATCTTGGAATCTGAGCAATGTATGTGATGTTGTTTAATACATATAATTTAAAAATAGAGTTCAAATTCAAAATTCAACAACGACGATAGACAATTCGCTATTAATCCACGCCGATATAAGTTTAGCCTTAAGCGCATCACACACTGTTTACAATTTCGTACGAATTTGACCCAAAATGCTCGAATTTTATCTAGTCGTGTCAATATGAAAAATGAGCTAACGAGTTTGCATTTTCGTACGAATTTGACTCAAAATGCTCAAATGTTAGTCGTGTCATTATGAAAAATGAGTTACTTACCTATGATAGGCATAATTATTAGGAGTAGTTATTAACAATCCATTTAATTTAATAGCACAATATGCACAAATACATTATATATCTGTTTTCTTTTAGAGGTATTATTTTTACTTGCAATTTAAGTGTTATTGAACTTCTACAAGAAGTAATATAATTATGTAATTTTAATTGTAACGGTTTTTAATGTACAGGTAGTATTTTTATATTAGGTGTATTACAATTTCCATCTTACTAATACGATTTTTTAATAATAAAAGAAAGTACTATTAACATGGATCATTTATTTGTATACTATTAATATTACTGTTATAATAATCATTTTGTTACTGTTGTTACATATGTTTGTTAACTAATTGATTTTTCAGTGTTCATTCCCAATTTTTTTCTTATTGCCTTTATTATATAGAAAATGTAACAAATAATCATGTAGTAATATTTATTTTGTAATAATAATTATGTTATTTACTTATGATAAAGACAAAATTATGCAACATTAAAATTCTACAATAGATAAATCTGTTTATCAGGGTAATATAGGCATTAAATTTATTACATTTCAATTATTTTGGAAGCAATAAATATATAGTAAAATTAAGTGAGAAAAATACGCAAAAAATGATATTTAATAAAATGTAAAGGAGGTGATTTAGCATAGTTACACTATTAACGGTCAGTTGCACAAATGTCCATGAAGGTCTAATGACGTCTTTAAGCTCTAATGAATGTCAAATTTGTATGGGTTTATAACTATTGGAAAATTTAATGGACGTTTTTGCAACTGACTGTAACGGCCAGTTGCACAAACGTCCATTAAAATAGACATTATTTTACCACCCATACAAATTTGACGTTCATTAGAGCTTAAAGATGTCACTAAACCCTAATGGATGTTTGTGCAACTGACCGTAAGTCTGCTATTAAATAACAGATCCAGCATTTATTGATATATAGTAAGCTATACCAGTTAGCAAATAGTTATCAGTCTCAGAGTAATATTGTGTTCCCTTTTCAATCAAATTTATTAGCATTTTAATAAAATTTATCAGACTCTTAAATCTTTGTATTATTTTCATAGAATCAGATAAATAATGCACTTTGTCTGGTGTTCATTTAAACTTGCCACAAAATAGGCGGCATTTACTTGTTTTTTTAATATATATATTTTAAATCTGATACTGGCTTTGTTTTATTTGTATTCAATTTTTTTTTTTTTTTTGCTAATAATTGTAGGTCAAATGATGTTTGTGTGCACTATGTAGAACAATAAAATAGGTAGATATTAAATAAATGTTTTATAGTGAATAGAGAATCTGAAAGATCTCAGATATAGTTAAAATTTGGTTCGATAAAAAGTTTACAAAATTTATGATAAAAAAATAATTATTGTATATTTTTGTTAAATTATCTTATAAGATTTAAACCTACACAACATTATAATTTTTCAATATTTATAATCTGTCTTGTCAAAGAAACATGAATGTGCACATGAATAAAACTAGGAATAGCACAGGATATGTGGAAGCTGTAAAATAGTTTCAATTGATTTATTGAATACCCTTTATACAGTTTTTTAAAATGGTTAAAAGTTTGTGGGAATAAGCATTTTAAACTACAATGTTTCTGAAAGTTGTTCCATTACCTATTCTCAATAATCATTGATTACAGAAATATCATTTTGTATGTCATCTTGCTTTAGGTAAATATAATATTACGATTAATAATGGGATAATAGCCAATAATAAATGTTGAAGAATCAGAAGATTTAACTTAAATAAGTAAATGGTAAACCCACTATATAACTTAATCATAATAAAACAAAATTAATTACAAAAATTATTTCTATAAAAAATTACTTTAGTATTCAATACATGACTTAATAATATCCATTATATAACAAGCTGGCAACTATGTTGAAACAATACTGAATAAATTTTAGTAAACAATTGAAAGGTTGTTTTTTATCAAATTGATCCTATCCCTATTCTGTAATCACTCTTAGGATTTCTCAAATATAAATACATAACTAATTCCTTCAACATTTAAAACTAATGCTATTGTAAAACAAAAAATTATCATGATAAAAATTTCATGGATTCAACATGCTCTTGTACTTTTTTAGGATAACTATGTTTTTCACATTCTCAATAAGTTGCACTTGAATATTAACACATTCAACAACAAAATTAATACTGTTTTGGAATATATTTTTCGCTTTGTGCATGTTTTGGGGAACTAAAATACCAAACCAATGTAGTGGATTAACAGTATTTTCAGCATTACTCTCCGCAACTTTAAATTGTGTTAATCCATCTTCTTCTATACCTTCACATATTGTTGAAGCTGAAAACTCAGGACTGTTCTCCACTGGAAGTTTACTTGTGCTTACAGAGTTTTGACCCATAATATATCTTGATTTAGCAAGATGGATACTTCCATTATTTATGCAAGACTCAATATTCAACTCTGAGCACATTTTTTCTTCCATCAAATGAATCTGTTTCACTATAAGCTTATCCAAAATATCGCAAACAGAACGGTATTCTGTAAAAGATTATTTTTATTAGAATTGCAGTAATCAAAAATACATTAAACCATAATTAGATCTAACGGTGTGTATGTATCCAAAGTATTCTAAGTGGCATATATCATATGAACTAATAACACAGTTACCTTCTTTATCACTCTGCATTGTGAATTTTTATTTTTTTATTAACTGTAATATCTCGTCATTCACTATATTATGTGATGGATAGTAATATATTGTTCTGTGTGGATAGCACAGAACTACCAGACGAAAACAATAAAATGAAGTATTGCAGTCATTGATAAAATCTCAACAATAAATGTTTAAATAATTCTCTGACGAGAACGGAGACAGTTGAATAAAATAATAAATCGATAGTACGACCGTAGAGTATCTTTCAAAGAGCACTTTTATATATATGGAGATTGCATATCAGCTGACAACAGTGTTGCTAGTATACGTTGTTGTTATTATTTATATTGTAGGCAAGGGAAAATTATTCTATGATAATTTTATTTAATACGGCAAAATCTCTAATCCAAAGAAAGTCTTTAACCTTTGATATATTGCCGGCGGATCGCTTGCACTTGAAGCAAAATGCTTTCTAACTTACCTAGTTGTTATTATTTTCAGAACTTTTGTTAAATATTATAATTAAAAATGACTAGAACTATATAGTTCTTTGTTGAACTTGTAGCAACAAAACTACATCAATCATATTTTGAATGGTGGAGGAAGTGGTGAATTAATGAATGAGGTTTATTGATCAGCAACAAAGATCAAAAAGCGATAATTAAAATTAAAAAATTCCATTTATTATCTGTATACTTCATAGAATTAATAAGTACTACGTACAACTAGAATGCTTACTGTGCGTCTAAACACGCGCCGAGTGAGAGGTCATAAATCTTGGTTTGTCCCTTTCTAAGTAGTGTAACCATTCTTACCTGAATACATTGGACATTAAAAGAAAATATTGATTATTGAAATTGAATAATATTAATATGAAGCAGGAAAAATTCTTATTTAATCTCAACTCAACAATAATAAATTAAAAAAAATAGAAATCAGCAATTTCATAGGCAGACCTCCCCCCCTCCCCCACTGGGGGAAGACCTAATAATAAAACACAATCAAAATAGTATATTTTATTATGACTGTATTATTTACATTTTAAAATTAAACATTACTTAACAAAATTGTTTTGTGCAATTTATGGCGTAAAGTAGCGCGAGATGTGCCAATGGCCTTGAATGTGAGACCTTTGCCATAAGTTGACATTCTTATTATGAGAATCTCATGCCTTTGTTGGATTTATTTTTGTTTAATTGCTGATGAATATTTGGGAAACAGTTTGTTATGACAGATTGTACCTTTTCATAATTTTTACAATTTTCTTTTAAAACTGCTAAAAGTGACTTTAAATTATTAATCTTCATCTTCATGTCTCTTCTTTTGATTTTTGCCTAGTATTAATATCAAGTTTTAACTTCTTACATGAAGGACTTTAGTCAGGCGTATAACTAAAGGCGTTTAACACATTATTTTTTTTGTTATCAGGAAAAATCTGTAATGAAATTAGATAGGTACATAAAAATAAGTTATAATATGAATTGTTGTTTTAACTTATTATTTTCGATATAATGTTGTTTATAAATGAGTGCTTTAATATTAGGTAGGTACCTTTGGCAAGATTGAAGGAATCACTTCTGATTTCAGCCTTTTTCGAGCCTCTGTTCGGTAATCTTTGGGTTTGAAATGAAGTGTACAAACCACACAGCTTTCATGTAAGTTCCCAGGTATCAACCATTTTTACTCTAAATCCGATGGCAAACTGGAAATTTAAATTAAAATGTATATTTTTTATTATAGTAATAATTTGGTTTAGTTTGGTGTGTAAATAGATATTTGCAAAAGATCGATCAAACGATAAGCCTACTGACCAATAAAATGATTAAAGGATACCCATTTATGAGCCTCTACATGCTTGCTTAATGTAGGTAGACTTGCAAATAGTGAATAACCAAAGTGTTAAGTGATACAACAATTTTAAATTTAGTACTTAATTAGGCAATAATAGGGTCTATGCTTATAGTACGTACGTACTTTACATCTCTATACGTAAAGTATAGTCACCCTAGTTTCTACTGATGACATACTTACCTGTGAAAAGATAATCCACAGCCAGGTACGATTCTTTCCCATACCCACTCACAGCACATATATTGTTTACCATTTTTCAATCCAATATACTATTTAAAGCACTTTTTTAATTCAGAGAGCATTAAAAACAAGTCCATATGACAAAAAAGAAAACGCCATGTTGCTTTTGTGGTGCCACGTGAATACTTCAATTTACCTATACTCCATTCACTATAACATTAGAAAAAAGAGGGTCATAGAAACAGCAGTGCAGAACATTTTATTTTCAAGATAAATTGAAAAAATCTTTATTAGTTTTGTTGAAACTTTGAACGTTAGGTAATCTGAGAGAGCTGGGCAATTTTCCATTTTTTATGATACCTCGGGGTTGAGATGAGGCCAGCATTTTATAAATTCATCTTTAGTCCCAAGCCAACATGGAACTAAAACTGAAACTATCTGTGTGTTTTGATAAATTCTAATTGTAAGTGTAATAAGTTAGACTTTTGATGAAGACATTGGAAAAACTACCCGAAATGTTAAAGTTTGAGGGTAGGTATGGGGGCTTAGAGCGTAATTTTTGTAGGCCACTCGGGCCTGTACCGGCATCGTCCATATTTACCAAAACTTAACAACAAAAATAAAACAATAACATCACGGAAAACGGCAAAACAACAAGAAAGGCAGTAGCATTCACAATGGATGACAATCCCAGATTACGATTTTAACAATTAGGAATAAATAATAGTCTGACAAAATCAAAACGCTGTACTAGCGAAACGTTTGAAGGGGTTAGGCAACGTTTTAAATTTGGTAGAGTTATAGTGACATGAGAATCGTGCCGAAACTATCCAACCCTGCTTCTTTAGGTTCTTTACGATGAACACTTTTTATTGTAATAGTTGTTAAATCATTTAAGTTAGTCAAATAGTCATAAATTTGTTTAATAGATAGCTTAAATGACAACAGTTAAGTATAGCAGCTGATATTTAAGTGTATATGTAGCAAATTAGCGGTCAGTCTTAAAAGTAACATGATTATTGATGTTTTGTCACAAAGTATACCATAAAAAGAACCTTATTTCACTTCTGTCTAATGCTATAATGAATGGAGTATAGTGTTGCATAACGTAAAGGTAATAAAACATGCCTACAATATTGAAATGTCGTGAAATATAAAAACTTTGTTTTATCTGGACCTAAAAGCTATTATATTATTTATATTATTAGTAAACTTATAAACAAGCCAAATATAATATTCATATAGAAAACGTTTTGTTCTGTGTAAACAGTTTTCACGAATTTACCACCTTTATATCAACAATATTTCACATGGCAATTGTGCGACAGAGACACACCAAGAAAAAAGATATCTCACTTGAGCTCATTTCTCTATGTAGATAATGGTTATTTAAAAAATACTTTATTCACATATCATTAAGGTTCATTTTGAGATGTCAAAAAGATCGCAGTTAGCATTCCAGTTGTACGTAGTACTTATTAATTCTATGGTATACTTACCTGATATGTATCAAATATAGTAGGTATTCGTACAAAATAACACGACTTCTGGCCAGAATGACGTTTGTGTAAAGTATAACATACAAATAAATTTTCCTTTTGAAATTAAGAATTAAAAAAGCTATGAACAGTTATTAAATCTTATATTCATCATTAAATCATCTTAATAAAAATTCAGCAATCAACAAGAAACGTCAGTCCGAAACGAACAGCAAGGTCAAAACTTTAAATTTAAAAATCACAAAGACACGTACAGTTATAATACTATTGCTACCGATCTTACATGTCGACGGCGGACGTCGAGCCATGTGTTAAGTTAATTCGTACGGTGGGTATGTGCTTTTTGGTTCTTACAATAATATTGTTAATAATAGATTGACTTCCTACACAACCTACTTTAGGAATGAGTTTTATTGAAATACATATATTCTTTACTGAGTACCTAGAGTAGTCATGCACTCTTAAAATCTCTGCAGTGGTGTCATGTGCGTTAGGTCGTTACGTTCCCTCAAATAAAGTATAGTTGAGTTGTATAGTTGAAATTAAAAAAGCAGCCCTTGCTGAATTTCTTTCCAATTCTTGTCAGTACGAGATTTCCCGCCTTAGTTTTGTGAACCATTAGCAAAGTTTTCGACTTTCACAAGTAATATGTAACAGCCTAGACTGAATTGATTTTGACATTTATATTAATATCATTCGTTTTGTGGATGCATAATGACACATACAAATACAAGCTGAATTCTGCGCTCCGCTTTTTGTTCTTAATTCCAAACCAGAATTCGGATGAAAGTTACGAGCAACGATCACTAATGTTGACGTATAAACAAAACATCGTTCCTTTACACGTAATATAATAAACAACTTTAAGTTACGATTAAAATTAATTTGAAAGTTAGATATCATAAGAAACACAAAAGGATGTCATATTTATTAATTTTCGATACTCAATTTACTTTTATTATGTCAGAAATAAAATTTGAATGAATATCATAAACAAAATCCAAACATCGCGAGTGACATCTAGTATGATTTCAAGAACTAATTTTTATTTTTTAAATACTTCCTCATTAGAAAGTATTAAAAAAACATTTGTTCCCGAATTTAAACTAGATATCGCTACGATACTTTTTTGATTTCTACATGACAATCCTTCCGGATTTCTTTCATGTATAAGAGAAAATAAATTTTCAAAACTCAATAAACAACTCATATTCTATTCGTTACTTTTACGTATTTGTACTGATATCTAAGTTTCGAACTTTGCAAATTTCAGTTTTTTAATATGTATTAATATGTTTACTACATATTCACTTAAATACCAGCTGCTATACTTAACTTTTGTCATTTAAGCAATGTATTAAACAAATTTATGAGTATTTAATTAACTTAAATGATTTAATAACTATTACAATAAAAAGTGTTCATCTTAAAGAACCCAAAGAAGCAGGGTTGGACAATTTCGGCACGATTCTCATGTCACTATAATTCTCCCAAATTTAAAACCTTGCCTAATCCTTTCAAACGTTTCGGCAGTACAGTTTTGTAATTTTGTCAGATTATGATGTATTCATAATTGTCAAAATACGTAATCTGGGAATGTCATCCATTGTGAATGCTACTGCTTTTCTTGTTGTTTTTCCGTTTTCCGTGATTAAGTTGTTATTGATTTATATTAGTTTTGTTTTTGTTGTTAAATTGTATTAAATATGGACGATGCCGGTGCAGACCCGAGTGGCCTACAACAATTACGCTCTAAGCCCCCATACCTACCTTTGACATTTCAAGAAGTTTTTTCAATGTCTTCATTAATAGTCTAATGTCTGAATAAATGTTATAAAAGTAATAATAAAAATTTCATTTTGTTTACCTTTCTTTACTGGGCATAGATATAACTAAATTATATTCTAATTATAATCAAATCAACAGATAGATAGTTTTAATTCCATGTTGGCTTTAGAGTAAAAGAAGAATTTAGAAAATTCTGGCCTCATCTCAACCCCAAGATATCGTAAAAAATAGAAAATTGCTCGGCTCTTTCAGACTATCTAACATTAAAAGTTTCAACAAAACTATAATGTATATTTTTTAAATTTATCTTGAAAATAAAATGTTCTGCACTGCTGCTTCTATGACCCTCTTTTTTCTAATGTTATAATGAATGAAGTATAGTTAAAGAGAACGGAAATGATTATCTTTGGTCCTTTCGTTTCCTACAAAAAGCAACTTTTGCTAGATTCGCCAACTAGTGAGGTGCTTTTTTAGAGCTTTCTTTTTTAAATATAATTATTATAATTATTATAATTATTCTGAGGTATTGTCCCCCTGTTAAACTAGTACTGCTTCCATCATAGACAGTGATAGTCACGGCCCGTCAACTTCGTACAAGAAACCAATCGCGTAGGGGTCCAGTGATGTATGACATTTCCACACGCCCCTCACCCCTGTCAGTAGATGAAGACATGACATCTGACAGAAACTGTCATTACAACAAAGAGTAAAGATACTAATGTTTTAATTAATCTTTAGTTCATTTCATTTTCATTTTACATGTTGGAATTAATTCATTCACTTCACATTGGCAAAATTGTTTGAAATGCGCAGATATGCCATTAATAAAAGAAGAAGAAGACTAAAGTATGTACCTACATATCAGGGAATTACGAGTGATTGAGTAAAGTTTCGTTTGTGCTTACCCTCTTCGCTTTATTTGTAATATAAACTCTCCTTTTTTCGAAGTATTTTTCTTTGTAGAAGATGCCTAGGAAATTGGTGTGTTGTGTTATGGTTGTGTTACACGCATTGTTAAAGTACGAACAGGACGCTATTCTTTGTAAGATTCTAGTGAACGAGAAAAGATTCTCCAAGTGGTTACAATGTCTTAGTGCTGTGTGTGATACTGAAAATTTGAATACAGGCAGAAGTGTCATTTGTAGCAAACACGTACCAAGATTCATTACTACAAAATCACGACTCTTGGGTGACGCATATCCGTCATTGTTTAATGATGATGGGCTCTCAATCAGCCTACCCTCTTTAAGCAATACTGGTAAGGCTGGTTTAATCTGCTATTACCTTTAGATGATGTAATTAAAATGATATGTATCTTCACTTTATGTTGTGTTTTGGAATACCGCTATTCTTCATTAAATTTTTTTGTTATTACAGAAATTATATTCACTTGGGAACACAGCTATGCAAGAAAAAGTCATGTTGACCACACATATTAGAAAGTGGAACTGAACAGAGGTTTGCTTTTAATTTATTTCATTTAGATAACAAAGTTCATGCTGCAGTTTTGGTGTATTTTAATATAGATTTTTGCTTTAAAAAAGTCTAGCAGATCTCTCTTTCTTACACACATAAAGAAAAATGACATTCAAGTTACTTAATTCTAGCGTGCACGCTAGAAGTGATTTTGATCAGAGAATAAATTGATAATATAAATAACATATTTCTAATATCATCTAAGATTATATCCTGTTTTTTAATCTTACACACATAATATTGATTTCATAGGTGGTGTAATTTTAAAAGAACAAATTGAGACTCTCGTGTCTGCAGCCACTGAGTTTACTCAATTAGTTGCTTGCTCTGGAGATTAAAATATGACACAAACTAAATTATCTGGTAAGACCTGTCTCTTTCTTTAGTGTATCTTTATTTCAATCAAATAGTAGTTCTAATAGAGAAATTCACTGAATACTTTTGATGTTACAGACCCTGTGAAATGTACCCAAACAAAAGGCTTATTACCAAATAAAGCCAATTGTCACCTTTATACCAGAGAATTTATGAAGAATATAACAAGCCAAAGACGTAGTTGAACTTTCATAATAAAGTTAAGAATACTTAAATACCGTTAAGTTTTGTAAAAAGTTATCATTTGAAAAGTTCCGACAAAAAATGAACACAGTTGCAAAAAACGTTTTTGAAATGCAAGTGAGCATGTGCTCTAAAAATAAACATGAGAGGTGATTCACTACCGAAGAAAAGATAATTGCTTTATCAATATCAAAGCAGAGTCCAAAGTGTTATTGATTTTTAAGCAACATTTTTTATTTTATCATCCAAAACTACACTGAATACTATGATTAGAAAATCGATCATAGAACCAGGCTTCATGTAAGAGGTAAATATATTCTATATAAGATTTTTCATTATACTTTTATAATTTTTTGTATTACTACCAAATAATAATATGTACCTACCTATTTGAATTTATTTTTTCAGTTGGACAAATGAAACTCCAAAAAATATGCTCCATTATATTTGATGAGATGTCATTAGAAACAGCACTTTCGTATAATAAAAGTTAGTAGTAGAAAAAGTTGTTGAATTGGACCTTAATCCCATAGCAATAATATATGACCAAGGCTCAGCTTTCCAATCAGCACTCAAAAATCTAAAAGAAGACACTTAGTGTGATCAAATTTTAAATTGAAATCACAGGTTGGTACAGAGAATTATATTTATATGAAAGAAAACTAATAGATTTCATGAAAGTAGTGAAGGTTCTTATTTTTATATTGTTATCTATGTTTTAAGAAGTTCTTAAATTTTTGTTTCAGTTGGCATTCTTAAAATATGTGGAGTGGATTTGAACATTATGATTCTGCATACTTGATAAAATGCATCAGGAACAATTTTTTAACCAAAAATTTAATATTGGATATTAAACTTGCAAAATGGCATGATATTATTTAGCTGCTAATTAAGCTGGGCTACATCATAAATTAAATGACTAATGGGTTATACCTGATAAAATTAAAATGATGAAGGTAATGCATTGGTTATTATATTAGTATAACTTAAATTAGTATAAATAAAAGAAATAATTTGTATTCAGCTTCTATATTCTCTATCAGAGCAAGTGTTGATTCAGTGACCTGTATTTTTAATTATGTAACAAGTAGTTAATATAGTTTACACTTAAATTACAATAATGATTCTCTAATGAAGATAATTTTAAATATGATATCTCTTTTTGAAAAACTTTAGAAAAACTTAAATAAGTGTATAAAAAAATATCAGTGCCCTCTTTAAAAAAAATACCTGATTACCTTGAAAAGTTTCATAAAGTTGTGCCACTAAAAAAATGTAGCTAAGAATTGCCGAGAATGCAGAAGAAAGCTGTGTAAAATATAATAAGTTAAAAAATAAATTATTCAATAAATAATATTGGAAAAATGTGTGTTTCATTTACGTGTTCGTTTTTCCTTTTTTGTTTTAATACAACAATAATAATAAGCTAGACTTATCAGTCTGCTTTATTGTTATTGTTGTATTAAAACAAAAAAGGAATTTAAATTAAAGTAAAAATAATGTGGAAACTAGGAAGACGGCTAGGTACCTACCCAAAACAGGGCTGTATAGCTAAATGCCTTTGCCGATAGTAGATCTATATATTTAAAACGAATGATGCTGTCATGTAACACTGGCTCCCAACCACGCTCTACGAAGAAATTTTTTGTTAGGAAGTTGGTCGTCTGATACCTACTAAGTCTGTGGTGATAGTATTGTCTTTGTTATTTCGAGAATTGTAGAGGAAAAATTCTCTATGTTCGACGCCATTTTGTATTGTTGCTTAGATTTGGTGACTTGGTGTTGGCATGTGAATTATCTTGTTAAAAGACGTAATTTTGTGGATAATAATAGAAACACCTCAAAATAACTTCTAACGATGTCGGATAAAAAGCGCTTACTGAATGACCTTAGAGTTATCGACTTGCGGGCTGAACTAGAAAAGCGTAACCTAGACAAAAGTGGCGTCCGCGGCGTACTGATACAACGTTTATCAAAGGTAAATCCTAAAAATCTATTCCTCTGTTGCTATGTGTAACAAGTACATTCCTTCTTCAATTATTATTTATTTTGCAGCATTTACAAGAAGAGGGTCTCGATCCAGAGACTTTCAATTTTGAAGTGAACACAGAACTCAAAACGCCGTCTAAAAGAACACGGCGATCTGCAAGTGCCGCAGAACACGAAACAGAAGAGGCCCCGATAATGGAAGATATGATTGTTCAGGACGATGCTGGCGAAGAAGAAGCAACAGAAACTAAAGAAGAGCAACAAGGAAATACTGGAGCTCAAATGGAAGTAGATGATAAAATCAACAGAAAGAGAGAAAGCGAAGAAGACACCGAAGCTAGTGAACCAAAAAAGCCGTGTCTTGAAAACGACTCTAAAGAAGAAGATCAAAAAGTTGAGAATAACACTGATGCAGAAGACAGCATTAATTTAGACCTTGGTGAAGATGAACTACTCAATGAAGAGGTACGTTTCTATTTCTTCAGGGTTACGGTTAAATTACCTCCTGATACTCCCAAACTTTCCAATGGATACATAATGGAAGTAGATTAATTGACAAGTTTTTGTGTGAATAATGTTCCTATTTATTTTTGTGATATATATATATTTATATGTAAATATATCAGATTCATAAAACTGAATTTATTTTTATTAGAAAGTACAAATAATAGCAGGATCCTTTAATTTTATGGAAGTGATGGTAATATCAGTAGTTTAATATATTAAAATAAAGTAATATATTAAATAAGTTCAGTAGTGGTCAGTTGGCAGTTTGCCAAAAGATAGATAAGTTGGTAAATGTATTTTATTATTATTTCTAAAACTGATGTTTACTGTTTCAGACTGACAATACTGAGAAGAATGAAAATAAAGGTAAGTTATAAAAAAAAATATTTAAATTTCAGTTAATAAAAATTGCTTCTACTACAGTTCGAAATTGTATATTTTGTAAATTTTATTATTTTAGGAATTCTACATAGTTGTATTTATGAATTAAAAAGGAGTAAAAAGTTTTAATAAATTCTTCCTATGTACTATCTTCAATGTGTGTAATATTTTTTTAATTGACATAAATAATGTGAAGTGCTGCCATAACAAGAATGGATCTAAATAGATTGAAGAGTATATAATAAGCCAATACTTAAAAGGCACCACAATAATAATTCTAAATACTACTTGATGAAATGCAGGACACAGTTATGCTTTGTATCAGAGGAAGGATACATGCTGACATTTGAAATATTTGGAATCTTCAAATAAAAATGTGGTTATAAGCCAATTTCTGTGAGGTTCACCTAGGAAATATTACTGGACATGGTTCATACTATACCTTTTGGTGTACAACAACTGTCCATAGTAGCCCAGTGGCTATATCCAGATGGTGGTGCTAATTTGCAATCAAGTTTTCAGGTCAAGAATTATTGAATTTTCAACATGTAAGTTTACGAAAAGTGAAGAAATTGTGTCATCTATCTTCTGAAGAAGATGAAGGGAGGCAGGGCAGGCCGCTCCCCACTGCAGAGCGACCTGTGCTGGCTCAGCTGATAACTACTACTGACTTAGATGACGAGGTGCACGAAGACGCAGCCGAGACTACTGGTGACGACCCGGCAGCCAGTGACGCCGCCGCAGATCCTGACTCCGCCTCGACCACCGACCATCAACAAGTAAACGCCGAAGCCTCCGCCACTAGGTTGGTGAACGTCGAATGGTCGTCGCGATGCCGCTACGCACATCTATATTACGCTCCGACTATAATGACCTTTCATATTCGTTTGCACTACAAAGTTTTGCACCTATTTATGTAAAGAAGAACATGAAGAATGCATCCAGAAAACAGCCTGCCTTCAAGAAAGAAGATTATCCACACTCTACATATGTATATTTCATCAGTGGCCGAACATGCTGCATAACTTCATGCTGTTGAGAAGTTCTTCTGAGGAGAATTCTTGAAGATCACCACATCAACAAGTCTTCGAGAGCTAGTATTGCTGACCTCTTGACTCAACTCCGAAGAAATGGTGCAAAACTTTGTAGTGGCTGTGTGTGTGTTGCCGATGATATTATACTGCCATTGATAAACAAAATCAGAAAAAGTTTAATAGAGCTATGTAACATCTTTGTGTTTGCATTGAAGTCTAATTCTAAAATAATTTTTGTTTTCAGCAATGATGGGGAAAAGACTGAACAAGAACAAAAAGGTATTTAAAATTTTTAGTATTCTTTTCAAACATACGAACAATACTATATGCATACCACAGATAATCTTCAATAGAAGCCGCATGAAAGACAGCCAGACAGACAGACAGCTGTAGCCAACCATCTATGATTCTGCATAGATCGTATTAACATAAGTTGTAATACACCTATGCGAATACTCAGTTGCGAATTATTGTTATGAAAAAAATACCCGACACTGAAAAACTAAAATATTGTAATAAAATAAATGATGGAATTAAGTAAGGACTATGAGCACTTTAGGCACTAGAATTTTTAGTTTTTCTGTCAATGTACAAGTCTAGAGATATGACATTTTGAATCTATATGGATTTACAAACAAAAACGTAATATGAATTGTTGAAAATATAATAACATAGAGAATAAAGCAATAACGATCATAATCTTTTTTTTGAATAAGACACATAAGCATCTATGGGAAATATTCCCTACTTTACCACATGTATAACAACAAATTTCATCAAAATCCATTCAGTAGTTTTTGCATGAAAAAGTAATAAACATGTGTTATCCATATGTCCTCACAAACTTTCGCATTTCTAAGACTTCCCATTAATAAAGGTACTGAATAAAGTCTGCTTATCTTATGTATGTGTAATAATTCATTTTCTGTATGCATTTTATTTCACCTAGACGAAAAAGACAAGGAAGTTGAAGGTGATAAAAAGGAAAAGAAGGAGGATGTTAGCAAAGAGGGTGGTGCCCGTAACCTTTGGGTTAGTGGACTATCAGGGGACACTCGTGCTAAAGATTTAAAGCAGTTGTGCAGTAAACATGGCAAGGTATATTAAATCATTTATATAATGCATCTTTTTATAATTGTATATGACACAGATAAGGCACTTGTGTGTATGACTTTTAGGTAATTGGAGCAAAAGTAGTAACAAATGCTAGGACTCCAGGATCTAGATGTTATGGCTACGTTACAATGGCAAGTGCTCAAGATGCAGAGAATTGTATAAAAAACTTGCATCGAACAGGTAATCCTACCTTTTTATATCAAATCTAAATTGTTTATTCATCATTTAAAGGGTACATTATAGTAGTAGTTGTCCATCCTAGTAGACATACTAAGATGCCTGAATCAGGAGAACCCTCTCTTCCGTAACATGTATAATCAATGCAAATGTCACCCTGTAAAATCTAAACTTTGTTACAAATTCTAATAATAGCTACCTAATTTTAATAGGGGATTGGGGAGCAATTAAATCAAAATGTGTTTGATTAATATTTTCATTAATTTTGAAGATTATTCATCTGTCATTTTGTCAAATAAAAACAATTACTGTATTTAAATCAAGAAATATAATTATAGTTTTTCGACATTTATGGTCTGTGTCTTACAAACGAAACACGAATCAATGTGATTGTGATGTCATTTGTGTAAATGATTAATTGTTTTTACAGAAAATTCCTTTTGTTTACCTTTCAAGTTTAAAATTTTAAGTTTTGAGGTTACATAGTTACTAAGGCTAAGTAACTTTAATATTTTTTTTTTTGTGAGAATTCATTTTCCTGTGATGAAACATTTTCGATATTTTAAAAAAAGATTATTTTTTGATATCATCACTTGAATTTAGTGACTTAATACTTGCCTACAAGATAGAGACTTAAATCTGAGACACGACATTGTTATTTTATAGAACTCCATGGTCGCATGATATCTGTGGAAAAAGCCAAATCTGAATCGGAATCGTCGTCTCGACGACAGCCTTCAAGAGCGGAGCGTCGTCCAAGCAAAGAACGTAAGGAAGAAGGTAAAGAAAATGAGGTAAGTGAATATTTTTATCTTATCAGTGTATACTTTGTCGTTTTGAAAATGAAATAAGAAAGAAACTTCTTATAACAAAATTATTTTTGTACAGGAAAATAAAGAAGGAATTGAGACCAGTGGTGAAAACATAAAGAAAGAGAAAGATGATGAAGTATCTGGCGCAGAAAGTACAAGGTCCACATCGCGGACTCGTGAGAAATCGCATCGTTCAGATAAGGTTAACAATATTCACCCCTGTATTTTTTTCAGAAGTTTGTTTAAGATTAATTTTAGAGATTCAAACTTAATTTTGATTTTATAAGTCATGCAATTTGTATTTATAATATAAATAAATTAATGCTTTAAATTACATTGATAATATATTTTAGGATAAAGCACGGCGCAGTACCAGGAGCCATGAACGCAAAAGGTCACCAAGAGAAGTACTATCATTCTCTAAAATATGGGTCAGTAAGCTACTACAGTTTTAGAACCACGGCAATAAATAGCATGTATCACTAAACAGATTCACTTCAAATTTTTATATTGATTGCGATATGCCAGTTACACTAATTGCAGTGATAATTGGCTACCTATTTTTTACCCGACTGCGAATCTTACTAAAAAGTATAAAATAAAAATAAATAATTTAAAGAAAAACAAAAACTCGACTGCATTAAAACAATTAAAAAAAAATAAATGAACAAATTAACTTAAATAACAAGCATAGTAGTTATAATTTTATAATCGATACACACATAAATCATAAATTCTAATGCAGAACAGAATGACTCACAGTCGGGGCCCATTCAATTTTTACCAATCAAATCTACCCAAGGGGAATCCAGATACCTTTTAGTGATACAGTTAAAAACTTGGGTATAATCATAGATCGGAGTCTGAACTGGGGATCACAATTGCAAGCTGTTAGTCGGAAGCTATATGCTTCTGCTGCATCATTAAGGAGGCTACGTAATTTTTTGCCGACTACCACTAAAATTGCTCTAGCACAATCTCTGTTGCTTCTCTTACTTGACTACGCTAATACCTGTTATCTTGATCTTACGGAAGACCAACTAAATAAACTTGAGCGACTTCAAAACTTCTGTATTAGATTTATATTTGGATTACGTAAATATGATCATATATCTCAATTTCGTACTCAGCTCAAGTGGCTTCCTATTCGACTTCGCCGGAATGCTCACATGTTATCTCTTCTGTATAATATTCTGTTTAATCCCCGTTTCCCGCGCTACTTGAAAGAACGATTTAATCCTCTATACTGTTCCACTACACATTCTTTGAGATCATCGGAAAACCTGAAACTTGAAACTCCTCTCCATAACACTACCTTTTATGATGACTCCTTTACCGTCCAAGCTGTTCGCCTTTGGAATGCTCTTCCGGCTTCCATAAGACAGGCACAATCAATCACTATCTTCAAAGAACTGGTAAAAAATCATTATTTCTCTTTGTAATTCTATGTTGCTAAAACCCTTCCTCGTTTCACTAAAGTATATTATTAGTATATATCTTATGTATGTATATATTATATGTATTTATGTATATATTTTCAAAATTTATGTATCTTATATGTATTAATGCATCTTTACTAAATGTTACTTGTTTTCTTGAATTTACGTACTTTTACTCTACACCTCCGTTTTTTCATAACTGCTATTCATTCTTCTCCATCCAAAGGTTGTCTGGTAGAAATCACTGTTAGCGATAAGACCGCCAATTGCTACATCATCATGTTATATTTTATTTGTAAATTTTATATTAAAAATTGTAACTGTAAAATGGTGTGACAATAAAGTATTATTATTATTATATATTGCAAATTAGTTTTGTAAAAATTAAACATACAATTTATTTTAAAACTAAAAATTCTAATTTTAATACTATTTTTGATTCATCACCATCATCATCACCAGCCCTTTTACGTCCCCACTGCAGGGGCTCAGGCCTTCCTTATGGATGGTTAAGGAGGATGGGCCATGACCCTCCACGCTGGCCCAATGCGGATTGGAGGGTATTAACGACTGCAAATGCCGGGACCAACGGCTTAACGTGCCTTCCGAAGCACGGAGTAGCTCGAGATAATAATTTTTTGGTCACCCATCCTGTGACCGACCCTTGCGAAAGTTGCTTAACGACTACGATCGCGGGCTGCGGCGCTTATCCACTACGCCACCGAGCTATTTTTGATTGCGAAAGGTATCTTTTTGTTTTATTATATTTTTGTTTCTCATCTCAGAGTGCCCCAAGGACAAAGTGGATTTTTAAGCATTTTTCATTAAGAATATCATTGTTTTTGTTCATATACAGAAGGAACGCGACGTTGCACGTGCTCGGGAACGTTCCCGTGCCGCTAGAGAGGAGGAGCGCAGACGGCGGGCCGCCGAGGACGCGCTGCGGGAACGTGAGCGCCGCCAGCGACAGGAGAAACATCGTCTCGCCATTGAGCGGGAGAAGCTGCGCGCTGAGAGGTTAGATGTTACTGTATCACTTCAAACTTCATTCGTTCGTTGGTTCTTATCAGCCAAAAAATATTTAGCAAATCAAAAATACGGACTTGTTCACATGAACTCAATTTTTGTTACTCACACTGCCGTTTGCAAAGAAACTGGAATTTATTATTTAACACACATAATACACTTAATAGGAATGGTATAGAACAAAAAAGCATTCTTTCTACACCCTTATAGCATTTTATTAATTAAATAGCGCCCATATTGTCTCCATTTGTTGTATTTAAATGGTCACTCTGTTACGTAATATGGTTAACCGCCATTAATTTTTTTTGTAATTTTCTTCTCTAAGGCATTGTTTTTATAGGGAAAAAATTGAACGAGAAAAGAATGAACTACTGCGCTTAGAGAGGGAACGGCATAGATTGGAACGTGAGAAACTGGAATTGGAGAGATTAGAACTGAAGAGAGCTCAGTTAAGGTATGTTTTATGGATTGAAAATTGCAGTTGTGCCTCAATAATGTATTTTAGTTGTTGCCGTTTTGTTAATAAATATATTTGCTGTACCCAAATGATAGTTAATTAGAAATTACCAAATTTAGATTGGAAGAGGAGCGTCGCAAACGTGGCTATGAAAGTGGCGCCGCGTATCGCAAGCCCGCCTCTAGTCCACCGCCGGAACCGGCGTATGAACGAGAGAGACACAAGCGACCTCCGCCACCGCCCATGGTATGATCAATGTCAAGAGATTACTCTTATATCTCAAGTAAAAAAAAAATCTATTTCTCTTTAAGGCACATAATATAACAATAGATATCACATAAATTGTCCTTCAATTGCTACAACACAATTGCGTGGTCAAGATTACTAAAACATGTTTCACTACGTAGCCAATATTATATTTTATATAATAAAATAAAAGTAGTTTTTAGCACCACCCTTTTGCTAATATTGAAGTCAAATGGTTCAAAATTATTTTTCAAGATTTGTCGCCCGTTCACTGATGTTCTAACAAATTACATGAATTAAAAGCTTGTAATAATAAAAACAGAGGTATAGAACTTTACGTATTTTAATGAAATGATGTTGGGACAGAGACAGTATATAGATATGTCAACCTAAATTAGGCCCACCGGCTCTACCGCATACCTAAAAATCAGAATGCTCTGTAAAACTGACAGATGTTGATCAGCAAACTAGAGTTTCGTTCTAACAGATCATTCACACAGATTTTCAGTTCGATAATGGCCCCTTTTTTTCTTTGATATTTATGCATTCAACATATATATTGAAGTTTAAAGTCTTCAAAAATGTTTATTCGTATAGTCGTCGAGTCGTGGACAGTTTGAGGCACCGCCGCCGCCGCGGTTTGAGATGGCGGCGGGATACGATCGCGGCGCGGACAAACGCGAACGCGACTACAAACGCGATTACCCGAGACATGTTTCCTGTGAGTACTGTGAACGTTATTGTCTTTATCATAATAATAATAACATTCACCGCCAATTTTATGCGTATTCAATAGAAATATTTTCTTCTTTATACTTTTATTTTACTATAAATCAAAACTAAGAACTCTGCAGATGAATACGCAATAGTCAAGTAGGTATATATTGCAATTTTTATGCAATAAAATACATGTTTTCAAGCATTTAAAATAGTAAAATTTTGAAAGATATGTATGTTGTTGATTGTATAATAATAAAAATTTTTGCTTGTTCTGTCTGCAGCTGGAAACATGAAATATCCTAGCAACGGCAGTGCCACTGACGATTCGCGACAACCAATGCCTCCAGGAACGAGAATCAAAGAACCCAGGTATTTTGATAATCTGTAATTACTTTGGTTCTAAATCACTAACATCAGATATAAGAAGTAAACACATCTATACACGTTGCTACTAACGCCGATACTATTGATAATAGTGGATGTACTTATTCGACTTTGTGAACTACATATTAAAATGGATATAACAAGTTTTCTGTGTTTTTGTTTTATAAACTATACTAAACCAAAGGAAAAAAAAATTGCGCATTGATTACAAATCTTAATAAAAATTAATAATATTTAATTTTTAAATGTATTTTGTTAGTAGGTCATACGAGTCGCGCGATAGTCGTTCGTATCGTCCGTCACCGCCCGGCAAGCCTGAGCCACGCGGCTGGACAGCCTCCAGTCGGTATCCTGATGCGACGGCACCATCCAAAGGTAAATATTATTTTTTATTTTATGCTATAGAGATAAAAAATTATGCTAGTATACTCAACGTTGACCGGGTACATCTAGGCAGAGGAATCATGAGTGGTACGCAAAGGAGCGCAGTAGCGAGCCCAATATGCCGGTATTGTCACTTGGGACGCCTAAGTAAGGTGTCAGGCTATAATTGGCTATTTTACTGTTTTGGAAAAAGTATTTTAAAACTTTCATAAACTATCAGATTTATTTTTCTTTAAAAAGTTTCAGCTTATTCATATCCTTTCTTTACTCGATCATAATGTAGATGTAATGTTTCTGTATAAGATTTTAAAAGCTCACATTGACTCAAACAAAAAACCTCACTAATATTTTACCTGACCCAGAATCTAATTCAGATAAAGAAACTATTTAGTTTTTTGTCTACTAATATTGCATCACCTATTCACCATTACATTACCATTTCCATCGTATTTCATAATTTATTGTTATAACTATCAAGTACCCAATAGTTATTATTTAGATGCATTATTCGTTTTCATGTTAGAGGTATCTTAAAATACTTGAAAAGAGAAACGTGTCAGGTACCAAGTCCGGTCTTGTTTTTTCAAGTATTTGCTGAGATAACGCAAGCGCTTGCGAATGCGAAACATATCAGTTGTATTGCAATGTTACGTATGTGCTTTGTCTCGCTCTATTATTACCTCGATGAAATAGCTGCATCCTTGCCAGTAAGGTCAACTAGTTTTGTCACCTTTTAATAAACAATACTATCCGGATGTTTATTAAAAGGTGACAAAACTAGTTGACACTGTCTATGTAATGTGTTGCAGGTAGCGGCGGCGGTGGTGGTAGCGGCGGCGGCGGCGGCGGTGGCGAGGGCTGGTCGGGCGAGGCGCGGTACGGCGGGTACGAGGCGCGCTACCCGCCGCAGTACCAGCCGCCGCCGCCCGGCGCCCCCTACCCGGACAGATACGCGCCGCAGCCGCGCGACTACACGCGCAAGTACTAGCACCGCACGCCATCGTACGTACCCCACGCAAATGTCGATTCGTTTCATTTGTGCCGTAAACAATATTCATTGTATCGGAGATGATACATAACAATAATAATTTTTTTGCCCTTGCCGAGTTTCTTTCCGGTTCTTCTCGGTACAAGGTCTCCCGCCGTAGATTTACGAACCGATGGCGTAGCTCTCGACTTTCACAAGTGCTTGTAACAGCCTAGACTGAATAAATAATTTTGGTTTTAATAAATCATCCAAAAATACCACAAATATCAATTTTATTCAAATTTTGTGACAATTTGTATTTTTTTTTTAAATTATGTTGACATTTTTGAATTTCTTTTTTAAATGACATGTATGACTTGTAATATTTGCACGACATCCTGACGACAAAATATGCTGGGCATTTAAAAATTGTTATCAACATGTAAAATTATATGAAAATTATATTTCTGCAAATAAAGATTTTATTATTATTATAAATAGTAAATTAAATAAGTACCACATGCTTTTGATATTAAAACATTATAGTTTTATTAATATCACAGTTGTTTATCATCAATCAGCCTTATAAATGCACCTCCTGATGGGGCAAGGGTCCCTTGAGGATGGCATCAAATTGAATAGGGAGAATGGGGAGAAATGGGAAACCACGCGGGCCCGGTACGAGCGTTAACAACTGCCGATGGGGCTGGGACCTACTGCTTAACAGCTATATCGCAAACCGAATACAGTTGGTCAGCCCCTGTGTTAGCACTATCTAGGCAGTCTAGTTTACACAGGACCATTCAGTAGTCGTGATAACGTTTCAGTTCAATTAACAGTAGCTCAGACTTGCATCGATTTCGGCAGTTATGTAGGAACAGCTTGCCTAGTTTTGTGATTTTGGTTGCACATTCTAAAATTATTTAGCTGGCGCCTAGTAGCACATACTACAAAGGATTAATTTTTATTCAGCGCCATCTAGTATCAGTATAAAATTGTGGATGCTAATAGTGATAAAGGAAGACCAACTGCTGGATCTCTAACAATTAATTTTCTTTAATTCCAGGATCTTCAAGGAAGCCAGTAGTGAATAATTTAATATTATGAAGTTTGTCGATTTGCTGGACCCAATTTCTATATAACTGGTGTTACCAATATCTGAGTAATATCACAATAAATTTTCTTTAAAAATAATCATTCCCCGCAATGTATCTGCATTTGCTTCAGAATTTTATTTTTAAGGCATCATGATGGTTTAGGAACCAAACATGTGTATAATATATTTTTGACATTATATAATGTCTGAAAATAAGGTGTTATGTTAGTACTATTGAGTAAGTTGACTTTATGTAACATAATATAGGTAGTACATAGTTGTCTATGAGTATAATAAATATGTATGTATTAGTGAATTGTTAAGTTTATTTTTTTTTATTTTTACTCCCTAAAATACCTGTTAGTAGTCAACAGTAGGTCAGGCTATACAAAACGCACTCTGCTTTATTTCAAACCTTAACGCATTGGAAGTAGAACTCAAAATCAATTGGGGAAATTTGACATATTGTGGAAGCCTGACGTGCAGCCGTGTGTCGAAAGGGTTGTAAATTTCAAGAAATGGCATTAAATTATTCTTCCGCTTTAATGGTGGGAATATAAAATTAATTAGTTTTTTTTACATGGCCTTGTTCCATTAAAAAAAGTTGAAAAACTAACGACTGTCAAAATTTGAAAAAAAGACCACACATGAAATTCTAGTTTTAAAAAAGGAAACAAATTGATTGGTTTACTTTCAAAATCAATTTAATTTTTTATCAATATTTATTATTATATACCTTTAATAAAAAGATCTAATAAAGTTTAAAATAACTTCCTTAACAAAGAACTTGATGAATTGAGAAATTTAAAACTATAAGTTTTTGATTCCGAGTGTTTTGAATTACTTATTAAGTAATAAGTTTATAAAGGAGTTTGTTTTTGTAAAATAATTGTCTTTCAATATTCGTCACACATAATGAATAGAGTGGGTGTTCAGTAATAAAATCAAACGTATTCTCTTTGAATTTTTATTTTCTAATGCTTATTCATTAATTAAAAATCTTTAAAAAATATAGAAGATTAAGGCATTCATGACTTTGAGGTATGCTCGACACATCAGATGACATTGCGAACAAAATGTGTATGGCTTTCTTTCGATACACTTACCGACATAACGACGTAGCTAGGAAGAAATGGGTGTCTAACTTCAGGAGGTTATTATCAATACCAGTTAATAATATTTAAAACTAGATAGCTAAACACTTCAATAAAATTTGAGATGAACATATTTGTTGCTTGAACTTTGTTACATAGTTTAATACAGAACCATGAAGATCTGTTATTCTTAAACCTACACTTACACATATAATTCAAATTAATGGAAATAAACTGCATAAAACAATCCAATTAAACCATTCCCATATTTTATTATAATGGCAACTTAAAACATTAATTACTAATAAACAGTTGCATCTATATTCTTAGGACAATAATTAACATTTTCAACAAAAAGTGTAGTAGGTATGGGTACAATATTGTCATGTAGAGAATCACCTGGATTGCAAAACCATTGGTGACTAGTTTTGTTATGTGAAGGTTCTTGGGTGTCAATATTTAAAGATTTAAGAGCTGCGATTGCTTCCTTTTGGCCCTGCACTGCTGCAAGTCGTAATAGGCGCGTGGCTGTGACAGTGTCACGAGGAAGTCCACCGCGACCTTGACCATAATAAATTCCAAGATTGTATAATGCCCCAGGATGCTCAAGTGCAGCAGCAGATCTGTACAACTCCATCGCCTTAAATAACAGTACAAAAGAAAAATCCAAATAACGGGAAGAAGACAATGAACATAACAATAATTTAAGCCTGTTGAACTAAGTAAATATTTTCCTAGTTACCACCAAATTATAGCTAAATATTTTACAAATGTTAAATCTGACTAGCCACAACTTATAAATAAATATAAGCCTATCTCTAAGACCAGCATGTGGTGGGTTAACCCTTGAAAGTCTGCAGATTCTTTAACGTGATGAATATGTACCAGTATAATTACAATTGAATATTTTTTTAGTTGCAATAAGGCTATACTTCAAAAAGTATATGGCCACTTTTTGTAATACAAATAAGTCTGTATATTGCTTTCTTTATAGAAGGTTCTTTAAAATTCTGCTACCAGTCCCAATCCAAATAGCTAATTTCAATAGGCAACCAGTCAGTCTAAAGATTTGATAGGAAGGAAAGTTTTGAAAATAGGCTTTGACACTTCTAAGTCAATTTAAAAAATTCTTTCACTAACAAGAGCTAAATCAAATGCAGGTAACATGGCCAGTTTCTGAATCGAGAAAAGTATAAAATCTCAACTGATTATTCTCAATAACGTGGTGTTTCATATCATATAAGGCAAAAAGTTCTAGTTTTATCAATCTGCTATAAACTGATCAATAAAAAACTAAAATCAGACACAAAAACTTGTTTAAGTGATGTATGGGTACAGTATGAGGCATTCTTAAAATTTGAATTGTTAATTCAGAAACTGGGTAATAGGCTATAATTTATAAAAAAGCTAATTAACAAACCATCTTCTCATCAGCAATGACACCCATACCCATTTCATAACATATTGCCAAGTTATATAGAGCAGGTGCATAGCTACGATTTGCTGCAGATCTGAAAAAAAATTGTTCATTGGCTGATGTGTATATAGGTATGGCTCAAGAAAATTTTAAATTTATATTCCACTATGAGGGCACATAAATTTACAAACACTTATGAGGTTTTCAAAAACCAATTAACCTTTAGTAATCAAAAACCTTTCTAATATTAATATGTATATTTTGGCTTTCTGCTCTAGCTCTATAAGCTCTAAGCTTCATCTGAGAAAAAACTAAAGCATGCAATCAACTTTAATTTATGAGATATAATATTCCAACATAGAAGGGACAATCAACAAACATGACAGGGATAGTGATTCTAAAAATATGACATAATTGATTGATGGGTCTTATCACAAATCACCTCAGTAAGTTCAAACCATCTTGCAGTTGTCCATTCTCTATAGCAGCTAAACCCAACTTATTCTCTATAGAATTAAGTACATCTCCGAGTATATCGTTAGATGAGTCAAGGTTAGTAGAACTACTAGAGGTACTATGAATCCTTTCTTTCCGCACATCTTGCTCATTTGTAATCAAATGCACTATCGGTGTGAAGTGACCCACCAGTTTCTCTATTTTAGAGTCAGATTTTAAGTATGCAGGATTTTTGTTTACAGAACTGATGTATGGATGCAAAGTAGACAATAAAGTAGAAGAACCACTTTCATTGTGTCTCCTTATATAATATTTGTATTTCCATTGAATCAATTGACTTGTGTACCAACTAATTACCAACGCACCACTCTGTAACAACAATTACAAATATTTGTACATCATTTGCTTAGCAAATAGTAAATACTTAAACATTATGATATCTTTACCCATGTTATGGCATCCATCCAACTGGAAGTAAGATTAACAAAGTTCCAACCATTATTGTTGTTAGTGTTATTTCTTTGACTAGGTCCAAAACATCTTTTTGCCTTAATCCAGGAGCACGGTGATGCTGTCTTTTTGTTCTCTTCATTTATATTTCCAGCATTGACAACACCCGTGGTACCGCGTTTATCAAAATGATTAGCACCTCTTTCAAATGTATCTCGGATACGACGGGTCATATATTTCCACATATTTAAATTAAATTTTGTGCAACATACCAACAATCCCTATGCGTGGATGACCATCTCTGTTATTACGTATTTTTTGGTGGTTCCTACATAACAATAAATAATAGTTATTAATTAATGTAAAACAAATTTAGATTTCTTACAAGTAAAACCCACAAATTTACGAGGTGCGTAAAACTCCCCTAATAATAATAATAGGTAGTCTGGTAAAAACAAACGTATATACTGGTATATACAGATTATCAATCGGTATTAGTGGTGTTAAATTAGCATCCAGTGTATTGTGCAGCGTATTAATTAACACTGCTAAGTAGGTATACGCGAAGGCGCTAAGAATTTCACGCGCTAACACGATTCACGCGTGAAATTCCATAACGATTCAACGACCAAACGAACGTAGTATCTCCTTACTAATCTGTGAAACGAACGAACGAAACTAGACCACAGATTATATAGTTTTATATAACTAGACCGCGGCCGGCCGAGTAGTTAGAGTCTGGCAAGCGAAACGTGTCACAAGAAAAGGGCGGCAATTTCAAAAATTCTTAAGCAGTAAACACTGAATGTAGTACTGCAAAATAATTTTGATACTTTTATTAATTATATTTAATCTTAACATTTAGATATCAATTAAAATTATTTGTTTTGGAACATTTGACTAAAGCGTGACTGTTCTTAATTGTACAGTTAACAGCATATCAGTAGGCCTATTCACTAACTCAACTGACAACCAAGAATCGTCATCACCGTAAAAAATAGACACTTTGATTGTGTCAAAATCACTATTTCGTATTCTCTATCAATGATGAGCAATTTCGAAATGTCAATATCGGCATTCTCCACTGGACTCCATTTTGACACTTGATTTCGTATCGATAAACTGTATTAAAGTAACATTGTTGCAAAGCATATTTGAAGTCGTCGCATAGTACCTCTTAAGCCATTTGTTGTTAAATTAAAGCGAAAAAAAATACGTATCCAATATTTTTCTATTATCTGACTGACGGACTAAATCGAATCTTTTTTTTAACCCATTCGTTATACCTATTGGCTAACAGCACTTATAATATTAAAAATTCATATTTGTCATTAATTAAAAGGGTGTTTTTTGCAACGACTTCTTTGTTTTTTTGTAATGAATATGGGCGACTCTGGCCACATTTTTTTAATAAATGTGATGTTAGCCAATTTTGATTTCTGGCCCTTATATTTATAATGTGTTCATAACACATACATGTCTCCTAAGGGATTTTCATCACAACCTTTTGCTCTGATCCAGAACCACTATCTATCAAATTAAATTAGTCAATATAAACACCAGATTACAATAAAAAAAACATTTATTTTTGTTACAATTAAGTGCCATGGATAAATTACATAATACAGGTGTCACAAAATCATCATGTTAATCACAATAGAAAATTTAAGATAAGATTTTGACTATGAATCAGACTAAAAATACTTTAGTCTGATTCATAGTCAAAATCTGTTTCTAAATATTCTACACCTGATAACAATGACAAGGAATCATCAGAGTCACTCTCTTCACTACTGTCTGCACCAACAGATATAATAAATTTTTCAAGTTCGTTTTCAACAATGCCATCTTTTAATTTGTAATCATTTTCGACATTTAAAACATGATCAGTGTATTTCTTCCAGTCACTAGGGGTAATTAAGTTAAAACACTCTATTATTAAGTTTTCCATTTCCTTTCCTGGTATTCCAATGTTTCTGCTTGCAATTTTTCTTTTTGCTTGACTCCAAACCATCTCTATTGGGTTTAAGTCACAATGATACGGTGGCAGCAATAAAAGTTCATGATTATGTTCTTTTAAAATCTCTTCAGCTTCATATACAGGCAATGTTTTCTTATCATTAACCAAACACATTAACTCTGCCTTTGTCTGATATTCCTCAAAATGTATTCCATTATTTACAAGCCATTTACGGATATCTGCTTTGGTATTAGACATTATAGGCGGTTTATTGATTTGTTTTATATGGTAGCTGGCATTATCCATAACAATTACACTGGGCTTACTTAAATTTGGTATTAATTTTTCTCTGACCCATTTCATAAAGTTCGATGAGTTCATATCATCATGATAATCAGCAGATTTGGATTTACTACTGAACACTAATAATGCACCAGGCACAAAACCTTCCTCAGATCCAGCATGCACAACAATATGCCGTTTTCCAGAGGATATCTTTGTAGTGACACCAGTTGTTGAAGGTCCTTGCCAAGACTTTTTAACTTTATAATTCTGATGTACATAAGTTTCATCAAGGTACACAATTTGCTTTCCTTCGTTTCGTTTTATATTTATTTCTCTCAAATACTTGTGCCTCCATGCAGAAATCTGGTATTTTTCTATAAGCATAGAACGTTCATTTTCATTGCTTTTAAAAGAAAATCCATTCTTAAGCATAATTTTTCGTAAAGTCTCACGGCTACCACTGAATCCTATTGCATCTTTTAATTCATTGTGAAGGCTTCTTAATGTTGGAACAATTTTTTTCACACAGTAAAATTCATTTACTTTATTCCGAATTGCACTTAAATCAAAATTATCTAAAGCAGACACTGTTGGTTGATGAGGTCGTTTTTTCCCAGGAGTGTCCCATTTTCCTTTATTAATTAATGCTTCATTTTTTATCCTTCTTAGTGTCCTTATACTTACATCTATAAAAGATTAAACACTTTGAAACAAAGATATGTTAAATGTATTTAAAAGCAAATAATGATAGACACATACATCAAAATAATTTAAATACCTATTCAACTATGAATGCAATTTATGTTTAATTTAGTTAAGTTTATGTGCATATTTAGCATGTATAACAATTACATGGTTTGATTAGTTTCATGAATTCTGTGAATTTCCTTGTTAAACAAAACATTCTTATGACATCATTGGATGTCAACAATAAAAACCAATACATCATAAAAAACCTATGTAAATATTATAGGAATACTATCAATCTATCTTAAATCAAAACAAGAAAAGAGACCTGTCATTGAAGAAATTTTTTGTATGTACTGCGTTTCCGAATTCAGCATTTCTTGTTTTTCTAAAGTTTTTATTGCATTTATCTCCTCCATTATTGGTTGAATATCACCATCACAGTTATCTGAAATAGAGCAATATTTTATAAAAAATATCTGTTTAGTTAATTACAGAAAATTAAAACGAAAGTATCAAAATTATAATACAAAACTAACCTAAAAAAGATACAACTTTATCTAATCGTTGTAATTTCTCCATGAAATTTTTATTTAATTCAGTTTTCACTTCAGTAAACTTGTCAATCATGATGGAAAGAAGTTTCCTCGATGAACTTTTTATCGGCTTCGACATAATTTTTAACCAAAAACACAAGTTCAAATTCGCAAAAACAACAAAATTCAATATTCTTGAATTGTCTAACGTAGTGTCAAACTGACAGTTCTATGTTGTTGCCATATGAAAACGGAAAAATAGGTGGTGTCACGTTTCGCTTGCCAAACTCTAACGCGTGAGCACGATCATTCGTTAGTCTAATGAGGAAGTATTTAAAAAAAAACATTAGTTCCCGTAATCAAACGTCGACATGGTACGTTCTTGATTTCTCCATGACAACCCTTCCTGTTTTCTTTCAAGTTTAAAAGTCAATTAACAACTTATATTCTATTTGTATTGATATCTAAGTTTCGAACTTTTCAAATTTTAGTTTTTTAATATGTTAATTAGAAGGAAGGAGGTGCTTTTTTAGTGCTTTCGTTTTTTTAATACTTCCTCTTGTGCGGAATGCGCAAATAAGCCATTAATAAAAACAGAAGAGTCGCAATACTGGCTTTGACGCAAAGAGCAAAAGAAAGTACTTATTTATTTGTTCTATCTTTGACGCAAAGAGTATTAAAAAAAAATTGGCGCTATTTATTGAATAAATTTAATCGCCTGTCCCATGGACGAATTATAATACTACTACTACTGAATAGAAAAAAAGCGCGGGAAACGTTGAAATTGTTAGGCGTGTTTTTTTTAGTGGCGTAAAATAATTAAAATTAATTATTAAGTTAGTCCATTAGAAGGGTATTTTTGTGTATTTACATATATATATTTGTGTATATATTAGAATTAGTGCTTAGCTGCAGATATTAGGTAAGTTTTTTTAATTATTTTTATGAGCGAGCCCCCCGACGACCCGGGGGGATTCGTCCCCCCGGCAGGTAGCTATGTTACGGTTTGTTCCGAGTCAGGGATGGATACGGATGCATCTACATCGAATAGATCCACTTTAAAAAGGAGCCGTCGCTCCAATGTATGCAAAACCTGTAACAAAAAAAGAAGGCGGCATCACGGTTCTGAACCGAAACCAACAGATTGTTCTTGCACTGAAATTTCATCTGGTAACAATAATACTTTTCTAGACCTTCCTCCACCACCTAAATCTGTAATACAGGATTCAATCATCCCTCCTTCAGTAGCTAATTCATCAACTCCTATCGGTAGGAAAGCTTATTGCGAGTCAGATGTTTCACCTTTTATATTACATGTACAAAAAATAGTATTATCAGCAGATGACAAGACATCAATACATCCAGTTAAGTTCGGCAATTTTTTAAAAAATAATAAATTTCCAAATATTATCAACGGCAGTGTTAAGAAAATTGGCAGGAATAAAATTTCAATTAGTTTTACTAATTTTAAAGATGCAAACTCTTTTCTTAATGATAAAGCTCTTCAAGTAAATAATTACCGAGCATATATACCAACTTTTAATGTCACCCGAATGGGGTTAGTAAGAGGTGTTCCAGCTGAATGGTCACCTGAAGAGGTCATGGCTAATATTTCAGTACCTTTAGGATGTGGGGCTATAATGAAAGTCAGACGCATGAACTTCAAAACTTTTATTGATGGGAGCCCAACATGGAAACCTTCACAAACTGTAATTATTACTTTTGATGGACAGATACTTCCTAAGAGAGTGTACTTGTGTTATAATGCTTTAAATGTTGACCTATATATATACCCTACGATACAGTGTTATCATTGCTGTCGGTTTGGTCACACAAAGGTACAATGTAGATCTAAGCCCCGTTGTTACAAATGTGGCAAGGAACACACTGGGGAATCTTGTGGTACAGTTGAAGAGGATGCCTGTTGCTGTTTGTGTTCTGGCTTTCATTATGCCACTAGTAAAGTATGTCCAGAATTTATGAGACAAAAACAAATTAAAACTTTCATGGCTCAAAACTGTGTGTCTTATGCCGAGGCTTCCAAAGCTCACCCTCCAGCAGCTAAATCATATGCAGACATAGTAGCTTCTAAGCCTATTCCTCAATCGCCTTTGTATAATAATATTCACACATCTCAAAATAGTAGATCTTCCACTACATCATATAAGAAAACAGTGTTCTTAAACCCTCGTAATATAAATAATTCTCATACCAATATGGGTTACAATAAAGAAGCACATAATGCTATCATAAATGACTTTAGAATCCCTACACCTGCTAATGGATGTGCTATACAAAAGCCTTCTCAAGATCAAGACAATCAATCTCATATTGAGTTAATAACAGCTTTATTTAATGTATTAGCTAAGTATAATTTTATTTCACCGTCCAACGTTGCCTCTTTGTTTGAAAATTTAATGTTAACAATTAATAATGGATCTACGCAATATAATACAGTGGAACACTCAGAGTATTATAAATAAAAGAAGTGAACTTATATATTTGACCAACACATACAAGCCATTTGTTTTTGCTTTGTCAGAGACTTGGCTTAAACCACAAAAAAACTTTTATTTTGCTGGTTACAACATAGTTCGAGATGATAGACTAGGTACAGATGGTGGTGGAACAGCTATACTTATCAGAAATACAATTCCCTTTTTAAGTGTAACTCTTCCACCTCACTCTGATGATATATCAATTGTAGATATAAGTTTTAATAATTTTTGTTTGGTATCATTGTACATAGCTCACCCTTCACCTTACATTTTAAGTGAACTTGATTTTTTGTTTTCTAATCTGCCCAAGCCATTTATAGTTCTTGGTGATTTTAATTGTCACCATACAGTCTGGGGAAGCTTTCAGTGTAATGCTCTGGGTCGAGAATTGGTAGATATTATTGACTCGCATAATTTATGTTTACTTAACACAGGCAGTCCCACACGTCAAACTGGACCAAATCAAAATCCCAGCGCTGTTGATTTATCTATTTGTTCTCCAAGCCTGGCCTCTGCTCTATCTTGGGAAACTCTTCCTTATACTTATGGTAGTGACCATTATCCAATAATTATTGAATTTCCTTGTAAGCAACAAATAATTCCACAAAAGATATCCCTTAGAAAATATAAATACACTAAAAATAATAAGGTTTGGGATTCCTTTAAAGAAAAGATTGAGGCTAAGCTATGTCTTCTACCCTCTGTTAACAGTGACAATAATCTAATATGTGCTCAATCTTTGGCCCACTTAATAACAGAGATTGCTAATGAAACATTTCCTGTGAAAAATACTTTAGAAAAAATTCCATCTCCTCCATGGTGGGACAGTGAATGCACTCTTGCTGTAAGGAAAAGGAAACAAGCGGAAAAAGAATATAATAAAAACATGTCAGATACTAACTTTGAACATTTTTGTAAACTTAAATTAGAAACTAAAAAATTATTCAAGAAAAAGAAATTTGAAGGTTGGAAAAATTTCTGTTCATCTATTTCACCTAACGTCAATCCAACAATAGTATGGAACAATATAAAGCGTTTTAGATGTGCTTTCAACAAAACTTCTTTTTCAGTTCTTCCCCAATCCTTAGCATATAGCTTCCTTGATAGATTAGCCCCCCCGTGGGTCCCAGAGAATAATAAGACTTTATCGACACAAAGTACGCATTACTTAGAAAGACCATTTACTCTATATGAATTAAAAGGTATAATCAATAATGTCAAAGACTCCTGCCCAGGAGAAGATGGAATTCCTTATTGCTTTTTTTCAAAACTTACTGATAACACACTTTCTTATTATTTAGATGTCATTAACAGTTTTTTGATAACAGGAAACGTTCCAATATCTTGGAAATCCCAGGTGATATTGCCAGTGCTAAAACCTCATAAATCACGAAATGTTGCTAGCAATTATCGCCCCATTGCCCTATCTAATGTTTTGGTTAAATTGGCTGAACATTTAATTAAAAACCGCCTGGAGTGGTTTGTTGAAAACATACAAGTTCTTTCTAAATCGCAATATGGTTTTCGGAAAAGTAAAGGCACCATCGATAATATTAGTATTTTTAATACAGATGTAAGATTAGCATTTACATTTAATGAATCTGTAGTCGCGGCTTTCCTTGATATACAATCTGCATACGATAATGTTTTACTATCGATCTTAAAAACGAAATTGGATACCATTAATGTTCCCTCTCTTCTTTCTAACTTCATTATTAATTTACTAAACGAACGTACAGTGAAACTTATATACAATTATAATAATGATATGACTAGAACAGTTTGGAAAGGCTTGCCACAAGGTTCTGTGTTAAGCCCTTTGCTATACAATATATACACGCATGATTTAGAGTCAATATTTGAAAACCGTATTAAAATTCTTCAGTATGCTGATGATCTTCTAATTTATTCTACCAATCGCGATATAGAAAGAGCAACATTAATTTTAACATTAGCTTTAAATGATCTCAAACAATGGTTAGATCAGAATGGTTTAAGCCTTTCTGCCTCTAAAAGCGCTGTGGTAATATTTTCACGGAAACGTATCATTCCCTCTGTTCAGATAATGTACGATAATGATTCAATTCCAATCTTAAAAAGCTATAAGTATTTAGGAGTTATTTTAGATTCGAAGTTATCAGGCGCTCAACATTGTGAGCATATAGCTAACAAATGTGAACGCCTTTTGAATATCCTTAGATGTTTATCAGGTGTGTGGTGGGGTGCTCATCCGTTTAGCCTTAAGATACTATATAATTCCCTGATTCGTAGTATACTAGATTACGGTACCTTTTTGTTAGAACCCGGTAATAGTATTGCCTTAAGAAAACTTGACAGAATCCAATCCAAAGCACTCAGATTAATAGCAGGAGCTATGAAGTCGAGTCCCATCAATGCATTACAAGTAGAATGCTGTGAGGCGCCTTTACATTTACGTCGTCAGTATTTATCTGACAGATTTGTTTTTCGCTCTATTCAATTATCTAATCATTCGCTCTTCCCCTTGCTTCAATCACTCGAAGAAGAAATTAACTCTTCCAGATATTGGTCTCACAAAAATCTTCCTTGTTTAATAAAAAGTTATAAAAAATATAAAAACCTGCACAATCCCACTCATCGTTCTAACTTGCTGCCACTTTTTGATGTTAACTATCAATCTTTAATATTATGTCCGAATATTATCTTAAAGTCTATTAATAAAGATCCTACAGCCAATTTTAATTTTAAATATACCATAGACTGTGAATTTAAAGACCATCATCATATTTTTACTGATGCTTCAAAAAACAATAAGTCTGGCAATGTAGGCATAGGTGTTTATCATTCACAATACAATGTTGTTCAAAAAATTAAACTTCCACCCGAATCCTCAGTTTTCACAGGTGAATGTTATGGACTTTTAAAGGCCCTGGAATATGTTATTATTATGAAGCTTAAGAAAACAATTGTATTCTGTGACTCAATGAGCGCTCTTCAGGCTGTTGGTAAATTTCCCTTTCGAATGAAAACATATTATCCTGTTATTTCTGAAATAAGAAAATTACTTTATAAGTGTTACGTTAACAACTACTACGTACAATTTATGTGGATCCCAAGTCATTGCGGTATAGGTGGCAATGAGATAGCTGATAGATTAGCAAATGAGGCCGTGAACTGTGGTGACATGCATCCATATAAAAATTTTAGCCATGACCTCTTGTCTATAGCCAAGACTGATCTTAATAGTGCCTGGTGTAATATTTGGGAAAATAGCTCAAGTAAAAAAGGTAAATTTTATGCTTCTATTCAACCACACATCTCTGTTAAACCATGGTACCGTACTGCTGATTACGGAAGAAAGGCTATTTCAATAATAATTCGCATGCGACTTGGACATGTTTGCACTCCTGATCATCTCTTTAGACTTGGTATTATTAACAATAACATTTGTGACTGCGGTAAGGGTATTATTGGCGAACTAAATCACATCATTTTTGCTTGTTTAAAGTATGATCGCTCCTTCTTTTTAAATGACCTAATATCAATTAAAATTCCTTTCCCAACTTCCGTATCCTCCTTGCTCGCTACGAATAACCCATCTGTATATAAATCCCTAGCAAAATTTATTATTTTCAACAATATTAAACTGTAATATAATTTATTTCTATCATTCCTTTACCTACCTTATGTTATAATAATATCCTTCATCTTATCCTTATACCCTTCTAATCCTTATTATTCCAAATTCCCGTTAACCTTAAACTTTATCCCTTTCCTGACGTTTCCCTAACTTTACTCAAAAAATAATGTCATTGGCTAAATGCACAAGCCGTGCGAAGCCAGAAAAAAAAAAAAAAAAAAAAAAAAAAAAAAAATACTACTGAATAAATTTAATTCAGCAGATCAGAGTTCACATCACATCAAAGCGACTATTAAATTATATTTTTCGTTTGACAGAGAAGAGCGTGCAAAGTATATTCGTTTTTTAACTAAAGGAAAAAAATGTGTGGTCGAAGTGCTTTGTACGTCCAATTTTTCTGTTTCCGAGAGTCAGAATTATGAAATTGTTTAAATCAGCGAACAATATTAATATTTCCAGATCTTTGAGCAAATCCGAGATTCAATGCGCTTGTAGTTATAAACATAAAGGTGTAAACACATACATTAAACCACAATGGTTACCAGAGCATAATGATGGCAAAGACTACTCTCCCTCTTTTAATATTGTTCCTTCTGATGTCACTCCAGTCTTAGTTTCGGGTACTAAGTATAGAAATGCTGTTAAAACCTCTAGAGTTCTCAAACCTATGATGTGGGGTATCATTCCTCCGTGGCAAAAGGTAATATACTATGAATATTCAAGAAACTAAAACAAGTAAATTTATAACATATTTGTGTTAGAACATATTTTATAACATATTAGTCTTTCAGAGTGATTACAAAAACCACAACATTAGTACTAATAACTGTCGCATAGAAAACATTACAAATTCAAAACTATATGGTCCTATTTTAAAAAATGGAGGTAGATGTGTCATTGTTGTTGAAGGATATTATGAATGGCAAACAACAAACAAAGCAACAAAAACCAAACAACCTTACTATGTATATGCCCAACAAAGAGCTGGAGTTCAGGTAAAGCTAATAATCACCCTTTAACAGTTAAAACATTTTATTTATGCACTTAGTAAAAGTTATTTCCAAAAAAAGATAAATTTTTAATATTCAAATTAATGTAGATAGTAAAATGAACCGATTTGTTTATAAAGTTTCTGATGATAGGTTGATGATTCAAAAACTTGGAACAATACTTATGATGATGAAGATGGATGGAAAGGCATAAAACTTCTTCACATGGCAGGTCTCTATAATATTTGGGAGAATGATGATCAAATTATATATGCATATTCTGTAATCACCATGGAATCTAATGACAAAATTAATTGGCTCCACCACAGGATGCCTGCAGTTTTGGACACTGATGAATTGATAGAGGTTTGAATTAATTTAAATTTGAGGTGGAAATACATTTAAGTCATGGTGTGTTGTTGAATATTTGTTTTTGTTAAGATTTAGGGTTTGGGACAAAAATTTAACAGCTAAATTCATTATACGACTTTTTATTTAATCAATAAGATTAAAAAATAACTCTTTAACAAAAGACATGCTTTAATTTCACTATACATGTCTCTATAATCATTTTTCAATACTACTTGATTGTCCTGGTAGTTCACTTCACTAGTTTTTGCTTTGGATTTTGCTTGCATCCTCTTGCATCTTTGGATCTTGCATACTCTTGTTTCCAGTTCACTTGTCTCTACAAGAATGCCAGGACGGGTAGTCCACAGTGTATTTGAGGCATTACCAAAAGTACAAGAATGGCTACCTGTCATTGTCTTCCCCAGTCACTATCCCTTTCTTTTTTTTAACCTTTCCAATGGGGGATAGAGGCGGTGAATCCTTCATTGGATACCTACCTCACAGCTGGCTGTGAGGTTACATCAGATGTGCACAATCTTTGGCATCCCTCGTAAACCTTTCAGAATTTGATACATAACATTGTTGATCCTCATAATGACTCGGTAGGGTTACTCACAAGGATTTGAAATTCTTCCCATCTCACTGTGTCTAGAAAAAAATTATAATGGCTAAAGTTGATTCCTCTTTCACATTTAGAAGAGAATTGTACTGATAATAATGTTTTTATTTGCAGGCATGGTTAGATATTGATAATGTGCCGTCATATACAGCTCTTTCCCTTTTAAAACAAGTCAACATATTATGCTGGTATAGAGTATCAACACTAGTTAATAACTCGAGATATAAAGAAAATAATTGTAATAAAAGAATACCAGAGGATAAAAAAGATATAAAAATACAGAAAACTCTGAATTCATGGTTAACTAAACGCGACAGAAAGCAAGATGATGATAACTATCAGTCTGTACCGGCTAAAAAACAAAAACGTTAATTTAAACTTATTCATTTTTTTATTGATAATCAATTATGGCTAGGGAAAACATCACAGGAGCAAGTGTTGTGCCCGTCTGAAGATGGCGTTAGGAACGTAAATATTTTTGTTGAAGTGTATGTAGTCTGATGATAATATTAATAACGTACCTTTCTAATCAATTTTGCTTTTTATTTCACCACACCAATATTTATCAAAATAAGGCTATAATCAATTTATGACGAATGGAGATGTGCGATGCAATTTTATATTTTGTTGAGATCCGTTTCCGAATTACATCGATTTTAATAAGATATGAAACAGTGGGCGGTCGCTGTCATGTGTGCGCTTTAGCGTTTTATGCAGTGTAATGCACGAATTCTTTGAGCAAGAAGAAAAATTTCCTGATGATAAAATCGTAGCGGTCACACTCATACCAAACCGCAACACAGCAGGCTTCACGCATTTCACTTTGATCCATAATCATTCCAATTTTTAGTTTTATCATGTTATGAGAGCATTTCGTCACAATAATGTGAGATTAAAACATTTCTATTTACGTTCTAACTTTTTTAATATGAAAGTAAAAAGTTTCAATTTTTTATGAATTCACCACGACTTGTTTATATCCGAAGCTACGTAACTTTGGTATTTGTCCCTATTTCGTAATGGTAATATTGTAAGTTATAATACAATAATTTACGACGGTGGCGCTGCCAGGTTTGTCAAATAATAAATAACTCTTATATATCAGACAACATTCATACGTTGCTCAGATTCCAAGATGAGTAGCTAAAGCCCCCGTATTAAGCAGTATCTGAGACAGCGAATAGGTTCCATAACAGTCAGACCCGAGACAATATAGAAGTCCATTTTTTACATTTACCTGACGCGTGCGAACTAATCCACTAAGGAGGTAGTCAATAATGATTTCTTTTATATTTTTGCTGCTTCACCAAATTTTATTTATTTATTTATTAGAGTAGCACCACCCCTTATCCCGTGGGTGTTGTTAAAGGCGACTAAAGGAACACGGTTATTAGGAGATGGGCAGTAGCGTTTCCTAAGAACTATGGCCCACTGCGATCGCCACCCCGCCTGCCAAGCGTGGCGATTTTGGCATATCCCCCTGTTGGGGATGGAAACAACAGTTTGGAGATTTGAAGGCGTTTATTCTTTCTTCTTATTTGCAGTACAAAGTACGAAAACGTTCGTAGGCATGCTTTCATACAAATCGGGTTTACTTAAGTGGGATTTGTTCGTTCGCACTTAGCTACTATCCTAACGCGTTAATTGACCTAATAGATTCATGTTATGTCGGTGCCCCTTCCACTATGCGGCGGGGAGGTCGCGGGGGGGTGCTCCCGTCGCTGCTGCCCGTGGTGTGCCCCCTCCACTCGTTGCGGGGGTGAGGTTGCGGGGAAGGGTCTTCATGTCCGCCGTCCGTAACAGTTCTCCCCCCGGCGAAGAGACGCTCGAAGAGATGCTCGGAGCCCCTTTCGCCGGATCGGACGGCTCGCCAGGCTCAGGATCGCAGCGCGTCCCTCCCCGCTGGTCCGGGGGAGGTGCGGATAATGTGTCCAGTGTCTCGGTGGTCAGCACGATGAGCTTCCTCGTTGGTCGCCGAAACAGCCCACCTCTGGTGCGTACGTCGGCGCTTCGGATCTCGCCGTCGGGCCCGGGGAAGATGCGTTCGATTACTCCCCGGGGCCAGATGTTGCGCGGTGAGTTCGGGTCGGCGATGATGACGAGATCGCCTACTCGAAGTGCGGCTTCTTTTCTTGTTTCGCCCCTCGGTACCAGCGTCGGAAGATATTCCTTCATCCAGCGCTGCCAGAAACTGTCGGCGAGCGCTTGGGTGGCCCGCCATTGGCGCCTGTCGCAGGGTCGACAGGGGCCGGTGAGTGGTAGACCTGATGATGTTCCTAGGAGGAAGTGATTCGGTGTGAGGGCTTCGGCGTCGGCCGGGCTGACCGATACGTGGGTCAACGGTCGTGAGTTCACCGCGTGTTCGGCTTCGGTCATCAGCGTATGGAGCACCTCTTCTTTCGGTGCCCTCTCGTGCAGCGTTGTGGCTAGAGCTGTCTTGACGGACCGCACTAGTCGCTCCCATGCTCCCCCCTGGTTGGGTGCGCCAGGGGGGATGAACTTCCATTCGACGCGCCGTTGCAGCAGGTAATCTTGTAGTCTGGGGGCCCATTCTCGTATGGCCGCTTGTAGTTCCTTGTCGGCGCCTTTGAAGTTCGTTGCGTTATCGCTCATTATAGTTTTCGGCCATCCACGCCGCGCTGCCATTCTTCTTATCGCCATTATCGCCGAGTCTGTGCTGAGGCTTGCCACAACTTCTAGATGTATCGCTCGGGTGGTTAGGCAAGTAAACAATGCGCCCCAGCGCTTCTCGTGGCGTCGTCCTACGGTGACGGTCATTGGCCCGTAGTAATCGAGGCCACAGCACGTGAAGGGCCTGAGGTGCGGGCTGAGTCGTTCGCGCGGTAAGTCCCCTGTAGATGGCGTTGTTGGCTTCGATCTTCTAACTCTGCACATCACGCATGCGCGGGTGGCGGTGCGAACCGACGGACGTAGGCGCAATATCCAGTAGCGTTGTCGTAATTCGTTGATGACACGCTCTCTGTTTGCGTGACCCGCCGCTTCGTGTTCTCTCACGATGATCTTCCGTGTGAACGGGTGCTTTCCGTCCAATATGATCGGCTTCTTCATTTCTTCTGGTACTGTCGCGGCGTTTATTCTTCCTCGTGCGCGCAGTACTCCGTTCATCAGCTCGGGGTCTAACTTGTATAGGCGGCTTGACTGTGGTATCTTCTTTCCTTGTTGAAGCAGTCGTATTTCGTCGCCGAAGGACTCTCGTTGCGCCCGTCGTAGCCACATATCTTCAGCTCGTGTCATGTGGCGTAGTTCCAACTGGCTGCCCTTTCGATGCCATTTTTCGATAGCCAATAGTACTAAGGCCGTGGCGCGGATGAGGCATTCGTATTTGCCGATTCGTTCTATATTCGGCATCGCTTCATTTTCGTTCGTAGAAGAGACGGTCGTGTGGGCCACTATTTCTTCGGAGATGGGTCCCTCTTCGTTGCTTCGTGTAGGCCATTCCTCCCTGTCGCGCAGCAGGAACTCCGGTCCGGATAGCCATCTCGCGGGGACGACGTCGGCGTATTTTGTTCGAGTTGCGTCGTCGGCCACGTTTAATTCGGTGGATATCCATCGCCATTGATTCGGCTCCGTTCGTTCGGCGATTTCACCCAGTCGGTGTGACACGAAGGCGGTGTAGCGGCGTGCGTCGTTGTTGATCCACGCGAGTACAGTTGTTGAATCCGTCCAAAACACCGTTTCGTCGATTGCCCATCGGTGTTCGGTTTTTATCGTGTCCGCCAATCTTGTCCCGATAACCGCTGCTTGTAGTTCTAATCGCGGAATACTCTGCGCTTTGAGAGGCGCTACCTTTGCTCTTCCGCTCACTAATGCTACGTGAGCCTCTCCGTGTTCGTCCTCGATCCTCCAGTAAGCGACCGTGGCGTAGGCGCTCTCGCTGGCGTCGCAGAACACGTGTAGCTCCCGTCGTCGACATTTCGTTGCCGTTGTATAGCAGCGTGTGATTGCTATCTCTCCCATGCGATGTAAGCCCCGTAGCCATGTGTGGAATTTATCGGCGTCTTCTTGTGGTAGCGGCTCATCCCACCCAATTTTCCTTCGCCATAGATCTTGGAGGAATATTTTCGCGGCGATTGTATATGGGCTCACTAGTCCGAGTGGATCGTACACGGACATGACAGCCGACAGAGCCTCTCTTTTCGTCGGCGATCTTCTTTCTTCCTTCACCTCCACGGGTACCCGTGCCATGGTGGTGTTAAATGTCAAGTTGTCTTCGGCGGCGTTCCATAGGAGTCCCAGTGTCTTCTCGAAGTGATTGACGTTCGCGCCGAGTCGGGTCGGTGACTGGGCGTGTAGTTCGGTGGGTATGGTTGCTAAGACGGCTGCGCTGTTTGAGTTCCAACTTCGCAGCACGAATCCCGCTTGCCGATGGACGTGCGCCACGCTGTTTACAATTCTGGTGGCCTCTTCTTCGGTGTCGTAGCTGTCCACGTAATCGTCCATGTAGTGACTACGTGTTATTGGTTGTAGTGCTTCCGGATGCGAGTCGGCGTAGGCTTCGGCGTTAGCGTTTCTTACGCTATGTGCGATGAAAGGCGAGCTTGCCGCGCCGAAAATCAATGACGTCATCTTGTATTTCTGGGGCGGTTTTGTTCGTTCCGTTCCTCGCCACAGAAACATTTGAGCGGGCTGATCCTCTTTTCTGATTTTAATCTGCAAGAACATCTCTTGAATGTCGGCGGTTACGGCGATCGGTTTTTCTCGGAATCGGAAGAGTATTCCTTGCAGCGACGTTAATAGGTCTGGACCCTCTAGTAGTTCTTGATTAAGGCTGGCATCGTTCGTAACGGCGGCTGCGTCGAAGACGAGGCGTAGCTTGCCAGGCTTGTTGGGATTCTTCACCGCAAAATGCGGTAGGTACCAGCTCTTCGGGCTCGCTTGTTCGGTGCCGTCGCATTGCTCCGCGTATCCTTTTTCGAAGAGGTTTTCGACTTGCGCTCTGTAAGCCGCGGCGAAGGACGGGTCGCGATCCATTTTTCTCTCTATGCCTTTCAGTCGTTTCAGAGCGTTGTCATAGCTGGGCGGCATCGTCACGTCGTCCGTACGCCATGGTAACCCCACCTCGTATCTTTTATTCGTGCGGCGCATTGTCTTCGTTACTATAGCCGCGGCGCGTTCGTCGTCGGGCTTTGTTCGATTTTTCGTCGATACTCCAAGCGCGTCGATGTCATAGTGACTTCTTATAATTTCGTCGAGGCGTTCTTCGTCGACGTCGTTAGTGCACGGGCGAAGCGGCGCATCTTCTGTGATTCTCAGATGTGACACTATCTTGTGATTTTCCTTGGTCGTGGCTCGAGGCAGGTTTCCCAGTATCACCCAACCTAGGCTTGTTCTTGACGCGACGGGCTGCGATCTTCGTCCGGCGCGTAGCTCCCGGGAAATCACGAGGTGCCAGTGGTCCGCGCCGATGAGGATTCGTGGTCGTGCTCGATCGTAGCACACCTCTTCGGCGCTCAGCTTACGTAGATGCGGGTGCTTCAGGACGGCCTCTGGAATCGATTGTCCTCTTATAC